AAAAACAATTTCTAAATTCAGCCCCCCGTTGCAATCTGGCTAAAATTATTTAAATCAGTAATCGAACCAATAATGTTATATGGCAGTGAAATCTGGGGACCAGAAAGAACACAAAATTACAAAATTTGGGACAAAACACCCACAGAACTATTTCATCTTGAATTCTCTAAAGACGTCCTGCAGGTGAACAGAGGTGTCTCTAATCTGGCCAGCAGAGCAGAGCTGGGCAGGTTTCTACTCATTCTGGACATCCAGAAAAGATGCTGTAAATTCTGGTATCACCTGACCTGGTCAGATCCAGACTCCCTTCACTATAAAGCCTTCATCAGCAACAAGACAAACCACCTACTAAACCAGCTAGCCAGGATAAAGAACTTAGAGGCCAGCCCAGCAGCTCAGCGCTCCACACTGAGAGAGACTGAACACAATAACAAAGCAGATTACAGCCTCTACTGGAAAAACCAAATCACTCACCAAAATAAAATGTTATGAAATGCTTGATCGGATACTCATTAGCCTATTACCTAATCAGAATCAAAGATAACAAACAAAGGCAAACCCTAACAAAGTACAGACTGAGTGACCATAAACTGGCCATTGAAACAGGGAGGCACAGAAAAAGCAGGCTGGACAGAGCAGACAGGATCTGTACCCACTGCCCATCGGGAGAGACAGAAACTGAGAATCACTTCCTTCTTTCATGTTCAAAATATAAAACCATCAGAGACTCTTTTCTGCCAAAATTTAGTAATGAAATCCCCTCCTTCCCCAAACTGACCGATTCAGAGAAAATGAAGATTTTACTAGGAGAAAATGTAGAAACAATAAGTTTAGCAGGACAATTTATTCAGAACTGCCACAAGATCAGAGAAGAAAATGTAACATAACACATCTTCAGTTATGTAATTAATATTTCTAATTCCTGATGTTCAAATGTATTACTGTTTGTTTTATTTTTTTTATTATTATTAATAGTAGTAGTGGTAGTATTTTATTTTATTACTTTTGGCATGAGAGAGAGAGTGAGAGAGAGAGACAGAGAGAGAGAGTGCAAGAGAGAGAGACTGGAGAAAGAGAGGGGGAGGGAAGGGAATAGGGAGAGAGAGAAAGAGAGAGAGATAGAAGACAGAGGAGAGAGAGAGTATCAGATACAGATAGGAAGGGAGGAAGAAGGAGAGACAGAGAAAGAAAAAGTGATGGAAAAGAGAGAGGGGGCAGAAAGAGAGAAAGACAGAGTGAGCTGAAAAGAGAAAAAGAGAGAAAAGGAAAAAGGAGAAGGAACGAGACACAGAGAGAGAAGAAAATGAGAGACAAAGAGAGTGAGAAACAGAGAGAGAGAGAGAGAGAGAGAGAGACACAGAAAGAGAGAAAGACAGAGACAGAGAGAGAAAGAGAGAGAGAGAGACCGTGCTTTTCGTGCTGCCAAAATCTAGTACTAAAGGGACCAAGTCTGTTAAACCTAATATACATTAAAGTACAAAGAGAACTGATTTAAAATGAGTTTATCCTGAAAATGAACTCTGAGTCTGAGTCTCGCTCCGACAAACTTAACACCCTCCATTCCCGAAAACCCTAAAACCAGTGAGCTAATGAAGCCTCCACAGCCAGGAGTTCAAAAAGCACAAAAGAATTAGCATGGCACTTTTCTAGAAATTCACCTAAAAACTCTTCGCCATGAGGAGTCACACCAGAAAACTTCACACAGGCATTATTAATACCTCTATTAACACTTCCGATCGGTCACATGACTTAGAAAAGACTTAATAATCAAACTGATGTATTGGCTCACAACAAGATTTCATTAAGAAAAAGAAAGCAAAAATGTGCCATGTAAATAAGCACAATGCGTATTTTAACTGGAGGGAATCGTTCAAGGTCAGAAGATAGGAGATGCATGACATGATCCCACAGTGGTTTTTTAAGAATGGCGATCTGATAAACATGATATCTTTTAATGTATTACTTTTATCTCCACTTTTAGAGCAACAATCACTTAAAAATTTTCTATTTACTGTAGAAATGATATAATATTATAATTTAATTAAATAACCTGGCTTCCATAAAAGTCTGGGTTCACTGAGATTCAAATGAGGAGTTAAAAAAATGTAGCAATTTTTTTTATTTTTATTTATTTATTTTTTTTACATTTGTACATCTCACAATCCATTCAAAGGTTATTTAGGGAACCAGAGGTACCCAAAGAACCTATTTTGGTGTCTTTATTTTAACCGGTATAGATGAGCCCTTGAGCCTGACCAGTGGAGTTCCGTCCATCCCTCTATTTAATACCAGCTAAATTAGGGTCCTGGGCTGGAAACGGCTCTGGGCTGGAGAAGTGCACCGCTCGCAGCTATGGAGAAAAATTGAGCTGGAAATTGACCTCAGCTCTGGCCTGGCCGGCAAGCCTGTAACTGTACAGCTCGGTCAGTCCAGACTCCAGAGATGCAAACATAATCTGAGTGCTGACCTAAGACTTTAGTTCTGCAACTAAAATAAGCCTGAAAGGAGCATATATTTACACACACATATAAGTAGTTATGTTTGAACTGAAGTTTGGGGGAGGAACATGCCTGAAACCGCTCTTTCTGCCAATCTAATGCCCTATAAATTCACATTCTCACCTTCCGTTCTCCCCTCCCTCACTCAGTCTTCTCTCACACAAGTACCATGTTCAAGGCATGGTGGCATTATGTGGCATGATGTATGCAAATATACATGCATACATCATGCCACATAACTATATTCCATATATCCAAAGTCAACTGCCATTAACTGCCGGACTGCGTTTCACATGCAGACCTAGCAAAGTATTTCAGCCAGCTATTTGACCACACGGCTTCTCAACAGTCCTGCGTCACAGTCTATATAATCACATGCATTCATGCAAATGTCTTTAGCCAAAGGCGGCTCATTGGAACAGAGACTACAAGACGAGTAATTAGTCAGGAAGTGAATCATTTCCCATATTTTTATAGATTTTTAATTTTGTTTACTATTTCTCTTCTGAGTAGTGAAGCAGCAACATAAATAGTTAAAAAAAGAAAGTTCACAACAAAAACTGTTTAAAAATGAATGTTTCAGGTTCAAAACCCATGCGTCTGATCTGTTCAGAGTCTGTGATGCTCATTAAAAGTGAAAGCGTCAGCGCCACTGCGAGACCAATCAGTTCAAATTAACCTACCGACAAACTTCAGTTCTGCAAACAAATAAAACAAACCCAAAGCTCATCATGAAAGGTCCACCAGAGCATTCAGTATCCAATGGCCATAACATTTCAAAATGCTCAATAGATTAAAAAAGTACAAAATAAAAGTTTACCAAAACATTTAATGTGTCTTTTTTTATTTTATTAGTAAGCTGGACTAATCATTCATTTCTAAACATTTAAAAGGGGTTGTTTATTTATCTGGACCTTTGTAAGCAAGAAACTTGATGTACCTGGACATTTGCAAGTTTTAGTTAAAAAAACACTGGTCTGTACTATATTCCACAATGCATGAGTCAATATAGGAATTATAAAAATGTACATTGAGGATGTTTAAATAATTACTATATTTATCCAGTGTATGGATAACCATTAGAGATGGCACGATACCACTTTGTCTGTTTTGATACTGATATAGATACTGAACTGATACAGTTTTTTCAAAAAAATCACGTTATCATGTATATCATGTTTATGCATTTTTATAAAACAAATAGTTCCGGTCCTAAAATCTGATTGTCTGAGCCACATTCGAAACCGTTGTAAAATCCACGACATATGCATTCCTATGACCATCTCACAACAACTGAATTTTGTATTACTGCACCAAGGAACAAAAAACTCCTTGTGCTGTTAATGAATAATCTTTGACTCTCAAGCTGCTCACATGGACCACCAAGAATACTGATGAAGTAAGAACCTGTTTTTTGTTTAAACTGAGAAGCAACTTAGGTTCTTAACCAGAACTAGGCTGGCCAGCAAGCTAACAGGCTAAACAACTCTATCATTAACATCACAGACTTGAGTTAAAGTACTTATGGTACGATTAACTGTAAAACGGCAGTATAAAAGTCTGAAAAGAATGAATTTAACACTTCAAATGTTCTTGTTTCAGTCAGAAGTAACGTCAAACCAAGACTGAATCCTAAACAGCTCCGTACTCCCTAAATAACGTTTAGAAATTCTAGCCTCTACAGTCAAATAGTGCATCATTTATCTAGTATGGATGTGATTGAATTCCAAATGGCTATTTCCGAGCTGTATTTTTGCACCGTTAGATTGCAGGATCCAGTATTTAAATTCCTATGTAGTGCATTATGTAGGGAGCAGGGAGACAAAAAGTACTTATAAAGTGAAAGTTTTTGCATTAAACAGTGATGTGTTATCATATGTTCCTTGTTATATAACAAAAACTAAAAAAAAATCATGAAATGTCAGCAGTATACGGTGCTGGGTGACCAAACATTCTCCTCATTCAGTGGTTCATGGTTGCTTGGCAATGATACTGTACTCTAAAGGAGCTACATATCTTGGTGGAATACTTGTTTATGTCGATTATTATTAATAATAACTTAAATTGTTTTCTGAAAAATTGTGTATTTTGTCATATTTTATATTGGCCGTTGTTTTATAAAAGCAATAAGCCACTTGAGGCCGTGCGTTACTGAGATTTTATCATAGGGAAGGGAGTTTTAACACCTTAAGAACACCCTCCCCATGGTAAAATCACAGTAACACATGGCCTCTCATGGCTTATTGCTTTATTTTATCATGCTTAAACTGCACAAACATGCTACTATCCCACTCTTATTCTAATGTTATATGGTGACTTTACTTTGCAAGGCTTTCAGGCTTGATCTGTGATGCAATCAGATCAGTGGTACTGTGCACGTAAGACTGATGTATGTAAATGAGCTCTGCCCTGATTGGCCGCCCAGGGCTCGATTTAAAAAGCAGTCCAGGCTGACACGTTTTATAACGTCAGCCTGTATTTGACCAGGAGGTGAGTACGTACCTTTGACCACTCTCCAGTCTTCCACTCGTAGCAGTTAGAGTGATCCTCACAGGGCTCCTCCTGCGCGGGCCGGGAGGTGGGGTCACAGAGGCCTTGAGGATTGGTGCATGTTACTGTCCTTTTCCTGATGCCCCGTCCACAGTCTGATGAACACTGGAGAGACGGAGAGATGGAGAACAGGACTAAAATGTAAATCTGATCATTTTCAATGTACAAGTTCAACAAATTCCATTTTGAGACTCACAAAGCCTCAGATGCAACAATAGGAGATGAAGGGAGAGGAGGAAGAGTAGAGGAAGAGACGAGACGAGAGGAGGGGGGAGAGTAGAGCAGTAGATAGAGTGAGAGAACAGAGCAAGAAGAAAGAAACTCTGTTCATTAAACGCCGCCACCCGCAGCGTCCCATTAACAGTTTTCTCCATTGGAAGAAACATTTGTTAATGAAGTGGATAAAATACATGAAGTCCTGAATATGTACAGAATAAACAGAGCGAGCGAGCGAGCGAGAGAGAGAGAGAGAGAGAGAGAGAGAAAAGAGAGAGAGAGAAAAGAGGTGAGGGAGAGTCAGAGAGGGAGAGAGAAAGAAGAAAAAGAGAGGGAGGCAGAGGAGAGCATGAGAGATGAAGAAAAAAGAGACAGACAGAAAGAAAGGGAATAGAAAGAGAGGAAGAGGAGAGGAAGGGGAAGACAGAGAGTAAGAAAAGAGAGATAAATAAATGCAGAGGAGAGAAAAGAGAGTGAGAGAGAAAAAGAGAGGAAGAGAAGAGAGAAAGACAGAGAACAGAGTGGAAAGAGAGACAGAGAGAGTGAGAGTGGGAGAGAGAAGGAAGAGAAAGAGAGGGGGATATTGAGAGAAGGAGAGAGGGAGAGAGAAAGATGAACAGAGAGAAGGCAGAGAGGAAGAATGAAAGAGGAAAAGGAAGAAAAAAAGAGAGAGCCAAGGGGGGAGAGAAAGGGAAAGAGAGAGAGCGAGAAGCGAGAGATAGAGAGAGGTAGAGGGGAGAACAGAAAGAGAAAGAGAGAGCAAGAGAGAGAGTAAAGAAGAGAAAGTGAGAGAGAGAGACAGAGAAAGAGAGAGAGAGAGAGAGAGAGAGTAAAACTACCACACTGCCCTCCACAGGCCAAGCAAAAACCCACATTTACAGCATCCCAAGTTCACACAGACAAACACTGAGCTCTGCCAACTCCCATAATTCCACATGTCTGAAGTGTCTGAAGTTTCCTCCTTAGTCTTGCACTGGAGCTACGAGGCTAATGTAGCTAACACGTTGTGAAATGTGTTCATGGATAACAGTATGAGGAGATAACCACATAATCAAGTCTATTAGAGATTACTGAACATCTTGACAGTGTAAAACTAAAGCAGCAAACTTCAGACACCCAACATGGCTTGACTGACTGCCTGCAGTAGAGAAAGACTGGGCAAATTAGATTTCTCGCCAGATGAGCACTTTAAAACACTCCAGAAGAGTCTCAGCACATGCCGATATACTGTCATTAGCATCAGTAAATGGTAATTGTGCTGAGGGACCAACCTTGGTCCACTCTGAGGCCTCCCAGACGGTGAGGCAGTGGCGTCCCTCACACTGCTGCAGGCTGGCTGGTTTGGAGCTGAGGCAGTAAAGGTCTCGTGTGGAGATGTAGGTACCGTTCTGGAGCTGATACACACAGCCCACATCCCTCCGCTGCAGGCCTGCCCCACAGGTCACTGAACACTGACCCCACTCACTGGCCACCCACCTGAGAGAGAGAGAGAGAGAGAGAGAGAGAGAGAAAGAGAGAAATTTCTGAATTCTGAACTTTTTTCCCTGATACACACATGACATTTGCACAATTCATTCTCGTGTCTATCAATCAATCTATCTGTCTGTCTGTCTATTCATCCAATCCATCCATTCATCCATCCATCCATCTATCTATCTATCTATCTATCTATCTATCTATCTATCTATCTATCCATCCATCCATCCATCCATCCATCCATCCATATTTTTATGTCTCTCTCTCCTGTCTCAATCTCTAGAGAGAGAGACATGAGAGGTGGAGAGAAGCAAAAAGGACAGAGTCCTTTAAAGCTGTAATAATCAAACAAACCCAAAAACCCTTTTCACATGTGCAGAAAAGTGGGCAATTATGCAGGACCCCCAGTGATTTCCACTCAATTTTAAATACCTGTGAAGCTGTATTTCAGCCATTTTTTCAGATTAGCTTTCTACAGAAGCTCAAACAGACCGCCCTTCATCCTCCAGTCCATTCATTTATGCTGCTCAGGGTCAAAGAACACCGTCACAGATCTCTGATCAATGTATTATTCCAATATAACTGCCCGTCTCTATTGGCTCCTCGGCCAATTTACCAGTGACACTGTCAAATGACTCAGCATGCAGTTGGTCAGTCTATAGGATTCCTGCTGCTGTCTCACTAAGTTCTGTGTTCTGACCTCTGAGGCTGTACTGATGTCAGGAGATATAGCAGCTGTAGAGGCTTTACCCACAACTTACACAGTAGTAACTTTTTTCTTTGTTGGATTCCAAAACCCTGTTTCGCATGTGACTAACATGATATCTGTTACACATTCTACATGAAACATTCTACATTATGCACATTCTAGCTTAAACACTACACTTTAATCATTCTACATTATGCATTGTACTTTACAAAATCTTCTCTACACATTTTTCTTTACGCATTCTACATTACATATTCTATTTTACACAGTCTACTGTACACATTCTACATTTTGCATTCCATTTTACACAATCTACTTTAAACATTCTTCTATATACATTCTACTTTACACCATTACACTTAACATATTCTACTTTAAACATTCCTCTATATACATTCTACTTTACACCATTACACTTAACATATTCTACTTTAAACATTCCTCTATATACATTCTACTTTACACCATTACACTTAACATATTCTACTTTAAACATTCTTCTTTACACATTCTACTTTATGCATCGTTATTTATACATTATTCTTTACACATTCTACGTTACACACCCTGATTTACACATTATACTTAACATATCCTACTTTACACATTATACTTTAATCATTCTACATTATGCGCTGTACTTATACAATCTTCTTTACACATTCTACTATACAAATTCTTTATACGTTCTTCTTTATGTATTCTACATTACATATTCTATTTTACACAGTCTACTTTACACATTCTATATTAAACATTCTACATTTTGCGTTCCATTTTAAACATTCTACTTTACACATTCTTCTTTACACATTCTACTTTAATCATTCTACATTATGCACTCTACTTTATACAATCTTCTTTACAAATTCTTCTTTACATGTTCTTTCTGCATTCTACATTACACATTCTACATTTTGCATTCCATTTTACACATGGTACTTTAAATATTCTTCTTTACACTTTGTACTTTACGCACGCTTATTTACACATTCTTCTTTACACATTCTACTTTATATATTATACTTTAACCATTCTCCATTATGCATTCTACACTACACAATCTTCTTTACATAGTAATCTCTACACATTCAACATTATATATTATATTTTGCACATTACATATTATATAGCAAAAAAATTTTATCAATGCAATGAATGATTTATTTGTAAATCACTACACCCCTAGCACTGAGGTTGTAAAGCCTTTCTGGTTCAAACAATATAGAATTGTACCAAATTCATTACATTTGCATAATTTTTTCCACTCTTTTCTAGCAAAAGTTACAACTATATCCCCAATGTATTATTGCCGCTTATGGGGCAAGGTGTTACATATACGCTCACTGGCTGAAATGTTCACAAAGGCTGGGCACTGGAAACAACAGTTATGTTTTGTAGAATTTGGTTTGCTTGGGTACATTTAAAATAATTTAGCAAAAGTAAAATGTGTTACAATTTTTTCCCATAATGATTAGTTTATAGTCTGTAGTTAGGGTGCTTATAGATGTTTGTACTGTGGTTGCCCATTTACCTATCCACCTTCACCCCTCATTCACAGAGAGCCAACAGTGCTCTAATTGATCTGATCACAGAGTTACGGGGGAGTAAACATTTTATTTGACAATGTTAATCAAAAAGGTCCGAGTCGATTTCCATTCCACCGGTGGAATAGTCACTAGGGGGCCTCCAGAAAGAGGTAAATCACAGACTGAGTATCTAAACCAGGGAAAGTTGTTAACCAGTACCGTAAAAGTTTTATGTATTTTATGCAAGTTCAACAATGCAAAACAACAATGGAAGCATGAGCATTTGTTTTTAAAACAATTTGAAATGCTTAATGAACATAGGAAATGTTTGAAGGCCTTAGGTAACATTCAGCTACTATTTCCTGTTAAATGTAGCACCAGGTTCCCAAAGTACTATAATTCCTGGCTGAGGTGAGAAGAAACAAGAATAAGACTTGACTAGATTTGACTTGCAATGCTACAGCACTGTTGGAAGGATGCTGAGACAATACATGACCTTATGACCTTGAGAGAAGTTCACAAACAACGTTCGGCTTCAGAAAAAGCCTTCTGGCCAAACATCTCCAATGCTGAAGGCACTTTTATAGTTAAAGCAGACCACATGTTAGGACTAAAGAACAAAACAATCATAATAATTACTGATGCATTGAATCATGGTGTCAGCACCCACCCAGCACAAAACAACAAAATTTATTATCTCTCTATTGTTGCATGCAAGGTCACTTATGATTTAATATTTGGTAAATTAGTGGAGACACACCAGAGAATAAAAAAAATTACAGCGTCGGCACTTAGCCTTCTGTAATAACTGTGACAGTTATGCCATAACAAGCAAACGGGGAAACATCTGGAACCTGCAGGGAGCTGCATTCTCTCTGTTCTAATAAACTCAAAACCAATTTACAGTCTAAAATCAGAGCAAGCAATTTTTCCTCCATCTTTTTCCTGCTTGGTCTGAAGTTTTTAGTAGTTCATTTCTTCTTCTGGTTTTTTGGGCTCTTTGCACTGCGTGTGTTACAGAGTCTCCAAAAAGTTTGACGGTGTTCAAGCAAAAAAAAAAAGTGGAGCTGGGTGCTAAAGCAGTGGCTCAAGGAGACCATTTGAGAAAAGGACAGGAATAAGAAAAGACATGAATAGGTGGCAATGGCTTGATCAAAGCTTCCTTAGTAGGTTCTTCATGATTAGAGATCAGAAGAACATCTCAATGGCAGTAAAATCAAGCTCTGTGATATTTGCATTGAGTAAAAACCTTTCAACTGGGGCCCAAAGACGTAGAAGACATTTAGAGCATCAAGTTATAAGAACTGTAAGATGTGAACTTTTCTAGAACATGCTAATGCTGTATTCCTTTAGTTTCAGTCAGTAACATACACTAAATGGCCAACAGTATTGGGACACCTACACATTACACCTACAGGAGCTTTTATGACATCCCATTCTTAATCCATAGGCCTTAATATGGAGTTGGTCCCCCTTTGCAGCTACAGCAGCTTTCCACTCTTCTGGGAAGCTTTCTACAAGATTCTGCCTATTCATCCAGAAGAGCATTTGTGAGGTCAGACGAGATGCTGGACAAGAGGGTCTGGCTAGGTGCTTGATTTTATACACCAGTGGCAATGGGACTGAATGAAACAACTGAATTCAATGATTAAGAGGTGTGTCCCAATACTCTTGTCCACACAGTGTAGCTACATTTTAATATGAAACCTTTCAAACATGTACATTGTCCATCAACAAATTGGTGGCAGCATTTGAAAATGTTTTTAAGATTAAACATCTTTTCTTTGCTGGTTTGCACAACAAGGAGGTGTCGTTGATACTCCAGTGTTAGCATTTGCCCTAGCAGTACTAATGCTAGCTCTGACGGCAGCAAAATGGTTGACAATTCTTCGTTTGGAACATATTCATTGTTCTGTTTGACTTTAATGAAAATGTCCTATAAGTGAACTTTGTCGTAACTTTGTTCTTTCTTTTCCATTTAGGAATGCCTTGGTACCTTGGTAGCTTCGTGAAAATGGTTATCATCACTGATCTACGTAATTAGCGCACCATGACCACCAGGGACCCTCTAACAACTACTGGGTTATTACTGTATCATTATGCTGTCTCCAGTGAGGGAAAAAAGTGACTGGTTAATCAAGTCTCAAAAAGGAGACGAGAAAAAAGCTAAAAGAAAATTATATTTATGTAATTAAGGGAGCCGAAAGTCGTGATGACAATTAGAGTACAATTATTTGTCCTACTAGCAGCACGTCAAATAAAGACAGCTTGAGGCCTCAGAAGGAAAATTATTCTCTTTGCATTTATTTTTAAACCATTTACATTGTACACTGGTGTACAGTGTACACTGCAAAAAATAGTATCTTGTCAAATGAAATGATCTTAATTCTAGTCAATACATCTAATAGTTACTTATTTTGAGATGGTTGTGCACTTATTATAAGATTATTTAAGTTATTTCCAAACATTTTTACTTCTTTTAAGTACATTTATTATGTAAAATTATCTCACTATACCTGCACATAATTTAGCTGATTTCAAGCACATTTGTTAAAACAAGCAACGAGTATAGTGAGATAATTTTACTTAACATAATTACTTAAAACTAGTAAAAAATGTTTGGAAATAAGTTAAAAAATCTTAAAATAAGCTCATAACAAAGTCAACAGAAGAAATATTGGATATATCGACTATAATTAAGATAATTTTACTTAACCAGATGCTATTTTTCGCAGTGTAGGTCTGGGGGGAGTGCCTCGGACCCCTAAAAAATTCTTCTTAGAGCCTCCAAAATGCCAGAGCCAGCCTTGAAGACTATTCTCCATATAAAAAAAACAATTCTGTCACCTTGGTTACTGTTACTACACCTGACAAGCTTCCAAGCCTTCGTTTTTAATGGGAAGTATAGATAAATATCCCACAAACGTCCTATTTTACCTGAACATTTGGATATGCTTAACAACACTAAAATACATATAATAGAAATAAAACAGCATCATGATTTGTCAAACCATTATTTAAACAAATCCTGCTCTTTATATCAAGGAAGACACTTTGACAAATGTATAAAGCTAAAAATTCCCAAAGCGTTAGCACAGAGCTGCCTTATACCACTAAATATTTGCCGGCATTTTTATTAAGTAATTCAAACGTGACATTTTCATTAGAACGTACAGTGCTTTTAAACTTTTCAGACACTTTTGGGAAACTGAGACATACATTTTCCACAATCTATCAAATTATGGTTTGGAAATTATGCAGCATTTTTTTCCTAAATAGTAATCCATCAAATTTAATCAAAGTTAACATTGGATGTTAAATCTGATATAATTTTGACTGTAGTTGGCCGGACAGAGCGTGTATATAACTCAACAGGGGAATATGTGGCTAGACATACATTCACTAGACATCAGCTATTATTAAACATTAAACAGTGACATCGTCTCCTGGAGGCCAAATATTATAAGTTCAGTTTAACTGCACCGAAAGTGAAGCTCAAAGCCGGCCTGCAGACACACATTGGTCCAATAAAAGGCATGTGGCAGCGACCCAACGTCTAACTGAGCTCACTTCACAGCATTTGATTCAATAAAATCCTCAGTGGACCTACAAACAAATGTACGCTATTAGTATTGTTTTAGAGCAATGAGTGGAAACAGGAGCTAATCAGTGCGTCTTTGTGTTGTAAGCGTCTCTTCATCTGCTGCTTTTTCCACAGCCGCTCCCTGTGAAGGGTTGATGAGAACCGAGGAGTGAATGTATTATGTTTGGACTGTGTTTTAGTTCACAGAGCTGTGCTGGGAATGTTTTATGTACGTTTTTTCCAACTAAGTGTCTCAGTGAAATGGCATCGACTACCATTTGTGCTAGGGCTGAATGATATGGATTAAACACCGAAGACCTCTGAAGTCATGTGTCATTCTGTAGTCGGCCTCACGCCCATAGTAGAATCTCCAGGTTTAAGCTGTTCATCTCTATTGGAAAAATGAACAGCATAAAAAACTAAAATATTACAATATTATTAAAATATTACCTGGTACATTTTGTCCTGAGTATATTTTCCCCCGAATACCACTAGATTCTCTGAATGTCGAGGTAATTTATCAGTCGAAATACAAATAATACTAGCAAGCTCGCACTCCTGCGCACTGCAATGACACTGAGTGAAAGTAGGTCTATTAAACTTCTGCACTGTTTCATGCATCATTCTACTGAATAGCATTCAGCAGCCATATTTTGACCATTTATTTCAGTGAATCTGGTGACATTCGGAGGAAAAATGTAGGTACGGCAAAACATTTCAGCCCTAACTCATTTACCGCACAATAGGACTGTTTGCTGTAGATTTACTATTCCACCACAATATCACCCCAATGTTGGCAGGTGCCAGCATTAAACAGAGGATCTCTAGTGTACAGTACAGACTGTAATAGAACGCTGTGTTACCTGTACTGGCAGGGGTGTGTGTTGCAGCGGCGGATTTGAGGCGCTGGACGGTTCTCTGGCTGACAGTGGCTGTCATTCACCACCATCATGGTCTTATTAACAATCCTCATGCAGGAAACCATTGTCTTTCTCTCTCCTGAGGAAAGAAAAACACTTCAGCTGAAACAGTGAATATACAGTTAAGCATCAGGAGCTGCATGTGTCATTTTTTATTATTTATTATCATTATATCTGACTTGTAGATAACTGAAACAAATGGAGAAATTGTGTGGAAAGTGCATATACTGAACCCTCTATCCATCCCACAATTGTGTTTGTAAGTAGAAGAGGGGATATTTCATTATGAATTTGATAAAAAGAAAAAACATTCTTTACATTATTGTCATTGTTTTACAACTAAACAAACAGAAATTAGAATTGCAGACTCAAACCTGTCGATACAGAATGTAAACTGGACTGAACTATGATTTGCTATGTAACTACTATGTAATTACTGTGTAATTACATCAAGTAGTGCAGTCAAGCAACAATAACACCAGTGCTAAGAGCTCTGCCACATTTGAGCTTACAGAAGCATCTCAAGCAGATCATAAAAGATGATTAAAAACACCTGGTCCAACATTTTAATATAAAACACAACCCGTGTGGCAGTTCATGAAAACAATATATCCATAAATCACAAACATACCTATTCACTGAACACATACATGTACTAGTTTTCCTGCTTGAATGCACCTGTTTGAACTTATTATGTAATTAGATTACATAACCTGCACAAACATACATGTTTACTACACATGACTTTACATGATCAGTAAGACTTATTCAGCTGAAAAGCTTCACTCTAACCCACTGCTCAGTTTGGCCTCCGCAACCTTCCAACCCAGCTACATCAGGGTCCTGACTAATTGAGAGGCAATTAGAGAGTAAAACACTGTTAATTACAGATAATGACCCAAAACTCAGAGAGGCTATTTATAGCAATTAACTGGACTCTGACCAAATGAGTTGTGGGTAATGCGTTGACCCTTACGTGCTGCAAAACCCGCCTTCAAACCAGTGGCTGCTTCAGAAGTGTGGCAGGGAGCCAAACTGCAGGATTATCTTATTCATTTTGTGCAGTGATGAATGCACCAAGGCAAACCATGAGCAGTCAGAAACTAATCCCTCAGAGAGGAGATTGCTGAAGGGCAGAGGAGGGACAAAATAAAAGAGGGAGGAAGAAGAGAAGAGAGAAACTAAAGGAGAAAGAGAGAGAGAGAAACTCATGGAACTCATGGAAATCATGAATAATCAAATTCCATTATAGGCTATATAGTCCAAAAGTTTGTAGACACCTGCTCATCCAGCGTTTCTGCCGAAATGAACGGTGTTAAGAGGCAGTTTGTCCTCCTTTGCTGCAGTAACAGCCTCTACTGTTCAGGGAAGGCTTTACACTAGATGTTGGAACATTGTTGTGAGGATTTGATTGAGCACTAGTGAGGTCAGGTTCTGATGTTGAATGGTCAGTTCTGGATCACTCCAACTCATCCCAGTGATATTGGATGGAGCTCCATCACTCCAGAGAACACAGTTCCACTGCTCCACAGCCCAATTCTGAGGGGCTTTATACCTCTTTAGGTCATATTCTGTATGTCATACACATGTCAAGTGTCATACTCTTCATCAGTAGTGGTGGGTAGTATCCATAGTATTCTGGTGGCACTGAATTCACTGTATCGCTTTGGTAAGCAACTTCAAGTTCATTCGCAGCACTGAGGCAATTTATAATGACATAAAGCCATAACTGTTCCAGCAAAGACAGTAAAACACCTTTTTGTTTACAATACTCAGTTATTATCACTGAGATATCACTTTTAAAGCATATTACTTGATATATTTGAGTGCATTGCCTTGATTTGATTTATTGTTGTAGTGATAACAAATGAAAGCTGATATCTAAACAGCTGAGATTTCCTGCTGCCTTGCTTCTATCAAACTGCATACTAGCACACTAGTCTGTAAAAAACAGTGCAGCACCATTAGAAGTGCACTCATTAGTGTAGTAGATAAATTACAGAAGTGCATGGTTTGGCCTGCAGCATTAGATCAGCCAGTGAGATGCATTCAATAGTCCAGCAGCTCCAGTGGCTGATCACAGCTCTGCTGTGCTGCTCATTAGCTGCTCACTAAACATTTTCAAGCAAGAATGCATTTTAACATATTTCCTAATTAAGGATGCATTTATTGAGGTGAGTTGATGTAAGCCTCTCATTCACCAGCTTCTTTTATGAAATGCATTCTCTGTATAAGGTATATGGTATATTGCACCTGAATGCAACTGCAGCACAATTTAAGGTGGAATGGAAAATTTGAATAAGAAGCTGGCAAATGAGAAGCTTTATATAAATGTATGGATGTGTTTATTAATTAAGAGCTTTGGCAGTTCTTGGTAGACGTTTTAATTAGTTTTTGTAAAAGCTCATGCATTGGAGAAAGCTAATCATCTCCACATAGTGTTTTCTGGAAACTATCTAAAGTGTCCAGATATTTTTTCATATTTTTTTGGGGTCATTCTGGTATATCTGCCTCGGTCTTCATCAACTTGTAGGGTTGTAGCTGCAGCAATAGTGACAAGACAAGCTTTGTCTATATAGCTATGTCTACACACAAACACACACACACACACACACACACACACACACACACACACACACACACATATATCATGCAGCAAAATAATAAAAGCACACCTGAACAACATAATGCTAAATGTCCTTATTATTCATTCACCAGCTTCTTGTTCAAATTTTCCATTCCACCTTAAATGGTGCAGCAGTTACATTCTGGCACCAGAATGGTACCTTAATGTAAGTGCTGTACCATTTAAGGTGGAACAGGAAATTTGAATTAGAAGCTAATTTCAGCTTCATCGAATTCCTCAAGTCATTTGTCTCATGAATGTGTCCTGTACACTCGTCCCTCTGACCATCAGACCCTGCTGGAATTTGGAGAACATTACAGTCATTCACACTTCAGTACCAGTTAGTCCACGGCGTGTTGTGTGGACAAGGCCCTGACAGTGGCCTTGCCTGATCCAGCTGACCGAGTCAGGTGGCTTCTCAGGCAGTACGAGAAGTAAGAGAAGTGCTGCAACTGATCTGGTGTCCATGTTAGGCTAATGCTAACCCCGAAAGGCCGGCCATGCCTTTATGCAGGAGACCAGACAGTAGGATTGAAGGTCTGCTGCATTTTCATTTTCATTTGAAATGTGACTGAAACACCCTTGAATCTGCTATTCAGCTAAACATGGTAATGTTAGCATTGCTTGTGCATCATGTTATCAGCATTTTGTGGCATACTGCTAAAAGCTGAAAAAGAATTTTAACCACTACCAATAATAATCCAGACCACTTGAGATAAGAATTTTGACTCTTGTACGTGTAGCTAACTGCCCTAATTATTTTGAAAAGTGCTATAAAAATGGACTATTAGCACACAATAAGAGACACATGTACTTTTGAAAGCAGCTAGCATGACATTCCACAGTGTTCTTTCTTGGATGGATTCCTCCATCTTTGGCCAATCACTTTTTTTCCAATCTAAATTCAGGTATTCTCTTGCTGGGTTCAGAGCCAGCACTCATACCTGCTACGGCCTCAGCTGGACGATTCAAATGCGAAGGCTACAGGAGCTCATTGAGGGGTCAACAATCGGCTCCTGCTGTTTTGTCTGAAAACTTTCTACAGCGCCGTGCTGTACAGTAACCAGGGCAACACGGCTTCTTTCTCTTCTGCAGCGGAGTGTGACAGAAGCTAACTGAAAGCAGAAGTGTGTCTCAGAAAGACTGTCTGGAGGGATGTGGACATGCCAGCAATTGACCTATCTACGGTCCACCTACACAAACACGTTCGCTCGTAGCAATTACTGCCAAACTGTAAACAAACCACTGAGTTATCAGACAATCCTAGGATTTCAGTCACGTGATTTTTCTGCTACCAAATTTGTGTTTTCCTCACATATATATTTATCTCATGCACAGGCCCTCTCCCTATTCTGGAGAGTCTCTCAAAGCATTTAAAAGCACAGAAGTCTACAGGCTCTCCACAGGCACTTACACTTCCTTTCATGAAACTCATCATAGGAAGTGTAAGGCCACATCAGCCGAGAGATAAACTGTTGACCCCTAACGTAGCTGCAAACAGCCGGGTATAACTTTACTTCTCTGTTTCTGGAGATTTAAATGACGTTTGAACGGAGAAACACATAAACACACACATTTTCTAAACCGCTTATCCTTCTGGGTTGTGGGGGAAAGGAGAAAAATAAACGTTAAATATAAGACTGAATGTCGCAGGTTAGAAAACTGGATTTTGTAAGTTTGAGGTCTAGAGGTCTGTGGGGGACACTTCTTTCAGTCCCGCCCCTGCCCGCTCCCACGAGATTTAATCTCGCTCCTGCCCACTCACGCAACCTAATCCATTTGAGGTGAAGTAACAAAGTGACACGTCAAAAACAGAAACGGGCTTGGCTGGTGTAACCAGTTTACTGATTGTGATGGGAGTGTTTTGGTTTTGTAGCTGTTGCTCACTCATGTCGCTTGCTGTTAGAATGTAAAGTAAGAGAACAACATTAGTTACGCACAATCCTTTTAAAACATACATTTCTTTTATGTAGATTATCTCTGTCTGTCCTTGTACACAATTTGCAGATGCGTTTTAGCTGCAACAGCTAAGCTTAGATTGTGAATGTGAACAGCGCCAGGCGAGTGCAAGAAGCCAGACCTTCTTTTTGAGCCTGTGCATGTGACACTGTAAAGACATATGATATGGTCCAAAAAACTTGACCCAACACATCTTCAAATTATTATTTCAGGTGACTCACAGCAGCACACTCACTCCTGCCTCAGTAATCCTTCTTTTTTCAATTTAACAACAAAAAAGAACTTACATAGTGTAGCTTTAATTAAAAGTTCAGAAAAGTTTTTTTTTCATGATTTCAAATGATTTCTTTCTTTAACAGTTTCTGAACGATGGGTGCACAAGTTCTAATGTGTAAACTCTCAGCATTTGTAACTAAAACAATCAGCTCCCTCTTAGAAATCAATGCCTTCATAAACTCCTAGGACATACTGATTTCTGTAATGTGCCCAAGCCACTGAAAGCTGAGGGACATTATACATATTTTTTCATGTTTATACTTCAAATATTTCCATATGTTACTCCACTTAGATTTGGCCGTTTCGCTAAATGTGAGATCAGCAGTTGTTTCTGTGAGGCACAATATCATCTGCTTTTCCTGTTTGGATCATGTTAAGTTACATTCTTATTGAAAAGTCTTGCTGACATTGTTTCCTTATGTGTTTATTTAATTATATGCCTTTAAAAAGTAATCCAGAATTGACAGAAGTAATCAGATTATCTTACTTTAATATATATTTAATATCTGTATCTAAATACATTTTAAAGTAACCCTTGCAATTCTATTATTGGTTATAATGGTAGTAATATTAACCTGTTAAAGCCTCGATCAGGACACTGGGGTTTTCCAACACCAACAGTCAGCATCCACTGAACCCTACAACAGACATACCATTCTCTCCATCTCCTAACCTGGATGATACATGGATCACCAGTCTTTTTGAGTCATTACTAACAGGGATGTATAGAACATATTCTGCATTTATTCCTGCTTCGTCTTATTTCAGTTGGTCTACAGAGATTTTAGATCTAGTTTGAGGGGTACGCACTTGTGGATAAGATACTTTGACATTATAATTATAAACCTTAAAATAAACCACAATTCAATGTGATTGCAATCCTGAATACAATTGGATGTAAAAAGGAAAACATACGGACCACCACTTCACAAAATAAGCAGATTAACGGACTGAGAACGTACAGTACAGGGAGAAAAGAGTTTCAGAGCCGTTTTACTCCACAAAGCTGCAAATCGAATCTCACACACAATTACACCTCTATTCTTTCAGAAACAATGACCAGATAAGGCGCACTTTTGCAAATGGCTTTTTGATTGGAAATTGCTTTAGGTGTCACCACACGGCTCTCTGCAAGAGATTAGCGCACCAGCACTGTCCCCATTTCCTCCAGCAGCGTCTGCTCCAGCTGAGATGGCAGATACACTTTAAAGGAATAGTTCAGACACAAGTTCAATGTTAAAAATTTTACCTGTACTGCAAATGTAGTCGATCAGAAAAGATATGTTTGGTGTCTGAAGTTGGCTTCCTTAGTTCTGCACTGGAGCTATGAGGCATGTGTGGCTAATGTAGATGAGAGCTTTAATTGGCTCTGAAATTTTGAATTGGGCCCAAAAAGTTTCTGCTCGAACCTGACAACAACCTGATGACATTTAGTCCTCTGTAAAATAGTATTTACAAAACCTGATATTTTTAATGATAGTTGTGGTAAAATTATTGTGTATTGACTATAATAGTCGTGATTTTCTGATAAATATGATAATGTAAAAATTTACAAAAAAATACTAAAATAAAAAAAATAATTACAAAATTTGTTTCTATTTTAAACAAATTCATATTCATATTATATATTATATTATTGTAATATATATTACAAAATATTATACGTCTCATAATAAAAAAATCTGATCCAAATGGTATCAGTAGTGCAACGTATGTGCTATGGCATTTTAAAAAATGATCCCATCTTGGTAAACTTGTCTTATAGAAGAGGTGCATACGAAAATAGACACTGCACAAAAAAATAACCAAAAAAAACCCCACTGAAATTAGTATTTTTACAACTTCCAGCACAAAAATAATGCTTTTTAGAGATATGTATAAGAGTAGTAGTGTAACACATTTGAGCACATATGAGGATATGAATTTTTTCACAATCTACGAAAAACAAAGCTTGGGTCTCTACTAAAATCTACTAAAAGTGGGAGGCAGTTTGAAATTTAAGCCCGACACATATGTGAGAAATAATGTGCTATTACGTGCCAGGGGGTTCGCCCTGAGCAAGCGTTGAACTCACGACCCTTCTGTTAGTAGTCGGTAGTGCTAAGGGACGAATCACCTGCTGACCAATAGAGGAAATGGATAAATATAATAAATAAAACGAAAGAGACTAAGAGCTGGGATGAACGAATTAGACAAGGAATGAAGTAAAGGGGGAAAAGTGGAAAACAAGGAAAGTGACTGGTCATCAAACCCTCAAATCACTACGTTACCAGACTGGCGTGCTATGCTCATGCCACTGAAGGGGGTAACGGCTGTGTGAACTTAAGGGCTTACAAGTATGAACCAAACTGAGAACACTCAAAAAACACCTTCTTTAATCTCTCTTGACTCTCACTAAACACGGAGAGCGAGGAATACTCATGAGATCTTTTTTTATATACTTACGCTGTAGAACGACAAGAGAAAAGTAAAGACTCGAAACTTGAGACAAATGCCGAGATTACGGGCTGAGTCACAGCAACCTGCGCATAGCGGCATAAAGTCAAGACTGCGCGTGAACAGCGTGTGAGCACCCACAGCTGTGAGCACCCACAGCTGTGAGCACCCACAGCTGCTACCACTCAGCCATAATTACTCAGTCCTGGCTCTTCGGTCCCTCCTAGCGGCTGGCAAGGGCGTAGCAGGTAGCCTGGATGTTTCACGTGAGCAGTCGAGTCCCATCAGATTTGGACAAATATATAAAACTCGAACATAGCTAGTAAAGGCAGTTTATTCTCCAAGTACCATTTTGCAGACCACAAGCCTAAATCATCATCTAAAAAATTACACTGATAAAAAAACACATTGCACAGCTAAAAACAGAAGTAGCCATTTTGAAGCCTGAATTGAGTCCGTATTTCTGTCCATCTACGGTAGCCTTGCATCCCCAGCTCTAAAAGAAGTAAACATCAGACACCAGACATGTCTTGGCAGATCAAGTACATTTGGGGTACGTGGGGTAACAGTGTAAATCAGATTTTCTTATAAACTATTCCTTTAACCATGTCCAATTCAGAGACGGTGTGTATGAAGGAGGCTGAGACTGCCCACAGCGTTGCAGTCGACCGCCTGCAAGCACACATACAATACTCATTATTGTCCCTGTTCACAGAAGATACACCAGTGCTGCACTCTCCACAGGGAGCACAGCTACGGTCCAGAGGAGAGTAATTTGGAGGCTGGCAGAGGGAAGCGTGATGTGTCTTTTCAGAATGAGAGTGATTGTGTGCAGTTTTGTGCTACATTGTGCAGCATCTCTGAATGACAGGCCATCAGTCGGACAAACTATTCCCTTACACCTTGTGTTTACTTGTGAAAGTATGATTCTAGATCTGTTTTACACTCAAAGCTACTAGCTGCCAGCGTCATTATAAAGGGAAATGCAAGCTTTCACTACATCATTTCTTTACTTCATCTATTCTTTAGAATTCTAGAGTCAATGCTATGGTGTTGCTATGGTGTTGCTACGCCATTGCTATGGTATCTTAGGAGGTTGCTAAGATGTTAGTAGGCCATTACAAAGGTATCCCTAGTGGTTGCTCAGGTGCTAGTAGGCCACTGCTATGGTATCCTAGGAGGTTACTAAGGTGTTAGTAGGCCATTATGAAGGTATCCCAGGTGGTTGCTAAGGTGCTAGTAGGCCTTTGCTATGGTATCCCAGGTGGTTGCTAAAATGTTGAAAGGCTATTTCTTGAAAGTTTAGAATCTGCAGTTTCCACACATTTTCTCTGCTTGTTCAGATGAGCTACAAGAGAAATATTTGGTGCTATCACCAACAATCACCTAAATTTGTTAGAATTACTTAACATTTCATCCTCTTTATCCTGTGATGCCTTGTCTCTTATAAACCCCTGAGCTGAGGTCATTTCCTCCACACCCCTCTTTAGTCCTCTCCCATAAACATAATCACTGTATTGGTCCTCAGAGTATATGTAGTCAGGTATAATTGAGCAGCTGTGCTGTCCGCCCATTTAGACCTTTGCATCAAGGCTTTGAGAAGCAGCTGGAGAGCAGGCCCACGTTTAGCCTCCGTTCTGCCAACCCTTCATCTAACTCTATTAAATCTAACAGCAAATCAGCAGTCTGCTTGATTCAGTTAGACTCAAGGCAGACTTAATAAGAACAATAAGACGGGCTTTCGGCTTTCTTCTAATCAGGAACTCCCTTCACTTAAAGCCTTAGTGTTTATTTACGCCAGGTTTGGGCAGAGCATTTGCCTGTAGTTATTTTAAAATGGCTAAACCATTTTTAATTTAATATGGCACGTTATTGTAAAACGACATACACATATTTACTGAAAACATTTAGAAAAATCTAGGTGTCCCCAAACTTTTGACAGGCAGTACACATCTATTTTTTTTATCATGTAAGACACTGTTAGCACTGACCTCCTCCACACTGGACGCTGCAGCTTTCCCAGCTGCTGTGTGTCCACAGGTACAGGTACTCTGGCTCTCTCTGCACCTCGCTGCTGCTCTCCTGAGACTGATTCAGAGACACTGTGTACTCATAGTGGATCCCATATGACTGGTCATGGAAGAGGAGAACCTGGGAGGAGAAGCAGAGTGGAATACTGAGAGAAAATCAATACAAAAAGAGGTCAATGCAGCTGAGATGGACTGGAAAGGTTAAGAACTTCTGGGATTTTTTTTTTCTTGGAAATGTATTATTTATTTTAATGATACAAAATTTATAGAGCCTGATGTAGAATTGGTATCACTGTACTGCCTTCTGCACTCATTAATGACTTGAGGTGTAGTATGAGGAGTAAACAGTCACAGTGGACACAGCATTCACTAAGATCAATGATATCTGTCTGATACAGGCATAAGAAAGTATCCTTACCCTATGAAGGCAAATAAGAGCAATATATCTGTAAACAGTGTAAGCTCATACCCCAGCTATACTTATTTATCTCTCACTACAATACCCAGCATGCATTAGGCAAAGCTAGACAAGGCAAGTTTCTTCGTATAGCACCTTTCATACACAGTCGTAATTCAAATGCTTTACACAAACACAGAAAAATAAATCATACTGCTTATGGCATCTTGAGATCCAGCATCTCAGAAAGACATAAAAGAAAGTACACAGGTAGAATGAAAACATAAGAGGGACTTTAAAACAAAAGACTTCAGTGTATTTAAAATTGGCTTATTAGGGATAGCGTCCTGAACTTTTAAGACATTTTAAAATATCAATATGGCTGCTCACACCACCAACAGTAATAAAGTGGTAATAATCTACTTTTAAATAAGATTATAGAAGCTTTAGCTTTAGATCAATCTGCATGGTTAAATCTATAATACCGACCATTACGTTGGCTGTTTGGAAAGGTAAATACATTATGAATGTTAAAGTAATCACCCCAGTTAAAGTTATTTATGTACTATATTAATAATAATTTTTTGATCTTGTTTATTTTCAGTGTGACACTTTTACTATCATACATATATATTTACTCTTTCTAATCCCTTGTTTGTTTTTGTATAATGCTCAGCTACATTGTAAATGAGGGCCTCCTTCAATGTACTCTGAGTTGATTGATGGATATATCACTACAGTTAGCTGGACAGCATAGCTAACAATACTCACATTCACTGAGCTGTATATGTTTTTCTCCACTTTAAATGCGCAGTGGTCAAAAACAATTAATAACAAGTGCCAACTTTCCACTGATGAGTTAAAGTTTGGGGAATTTAGGGACCTTTAGAGGAAATGTGTAATTGCATGCAACATATGGAAGAACACTCTCTAATGTGGGTTGTGCTTCGGACCCCTTCCCTGAGTGGATGAATCTGATGATTGAGAGTGCTTTAAAAGAGAATTCAAAGAAAACATAAAGTGTTAAAGTATAACACTTACAGCATAAAGTGTTTATTACTTGTTGCCTTCATTAGCCTTATTGCTTTAGTGCAAAACTAAAGAGGCCGTCTTTTCTTGGCTGATTGGCTACATTTAAGAAAGGAAATCTGGAGTGGATTTTTTGTATTTACGCTCTAGTTTGACAAGTGTTGTCAGTTCATTAGCAGATAGACTCCCGGCAACATCAATAAATGACTCCAGCAGGCCATGAAGAGCCGAAGAGCTTCACACTGGTTGGCCAGCACATTGCCAGGAGCAAGAGAGAGAGTACTCTCATCCATTCCTGTAATCATGTCCAAGTAATGGCACTCGACTCTGGCTGCCAGCTCAAACACACCGGGGCAAGGGCTCTCCGCTATATCTCTTCAATCTGAGGGGGGCTGTTTTCTCTTTCGCTGAGGGGCTAAGCTAAGGAGGCTAATGTTTTGTGAACAGAGAGGCTGCCTGAGTGATCTTTGAACAAGCGCATTCATTGCTTCTGCCCTTCCTCTTTCTCTCTGAAAAAAGAGAAGAATTCTTTCATCCACCTTCTTCAATCTTAAACTTGATGACACTCCTAATATCCAACTCAATAGCTCAATACCTGAAAGCCCTCATTACGACTGGGAGTGCAGCATTCAGTTTAACTGCAGTTCATATGCTGTTTTGAGCCTTCTTTCTGTCTAGTTTTGGGAAAATCAAGACTTAATTTCCTTCTTGACTTTATTAGACACTTCCACCTTGTACTGAGTGGCATTACAATTCCCACAATGCCCCAGCGTCTTTACTATGAAGACTTCAGTTTGCACAGAACAGACATTTTTTGCAGTCACTGCGTCATCACACCCAGTTGTAAACATTAGCGATATCATACTTGCGCCTGCACCGTTTAAGGGAGTGGCAATTAATTCTTCCAACTCAGCTCATGTAAACGTTAGCAAGTGCCCTAAACAACACGACCAGCACAGAGACACAGTATCATATTTCTACATTACAGTCAACTAATCACCAAGCTGCAGTGCTGAGGAGTCCATTTCTCATGGTTTTTAAGCAAACCTCTGTGATGACAATCTCCAGGATTGTAAATATACCAGTGAATAAATATTTATCTGGGAGCATTTTTAATCACAAATATGGTAAATCTGTCCTGCTGTTCAGCCCACATTCACACTCCAGTTCAGTTTTACACTCTTTTTTGATCGGTTACTTTGTTAAAAGTGACTCACGACAAGCAGAACTTTTCAGCTGAAGCAGACATTTTTAAACTTGATGGAGTGGAAACTCAGCTAAGGCTGTATGGTTGAATTATTGGTGCATTTAGGAGCGCAGCATTAATTTCATACAGTATCAGCCATTGTTTACAGCATGACCGGAAGCTGTTTAACGCTACTATTTACTCTTCCACATCAACAAACATGGAAGTGTGAAAATGGTCTATTGTTCAGATGCAATTTATTTAACAGCACAGCTGCAAAACTTTGGGTGCTGCTGGTCGATCCACACGTTTTGTTGATATTCTAAGTGAAAATAAGTACGTTTGGAAACTGTATCGATCAAGTTGACCCACTTTTTCATAGGACTGGTTCTGTCCCTATGAATGACATGAATGGAGGTTGGAGAGTTTGGGTTGTGCCCCCCTTGATAAAGAGCATGGTACAACTAGCAGTCTAGAAATGCCCCTGTCCACTCCAAAATCTAACCAGCTCTGTGGTCACTGATGAAGGGCTAGAGCCAATGTGTTAAGCATGAGGCCCATGACACAGTCTTATTCGGCTGTGAAATAATTTGAATTTTCTATTCTCATTAGCTCGCTTCACCCTGAGGTGCACTAGAGTCCCCAGTACGCACTGCAACACAGTGTGTGTTCTGACCCCTTCCCCCAACAATAATCTGTGGGGCCAGCGGTTATACAGAAAGAAAAGATGCCTGGTGTCTAGTTTAAGCAAATAGGCAGTTTTTAAAAAAACTACCTAAAACAATTTATTTTTATTTAGAATCATTTTTAATAAGTATTCCATGCCAGATTAGCTGTTGCAGTTTTGGCATATTTAGAATAAGCAGTGGCCTGTTCAGATCATGGCAAAATGTTCAGTAAAAATAAAATAAAAGCACAGCTGGCCCATGGATTTGCCGAAATCTGGGCTAGTCTATAACAGTACACCATCAAAGTGGAGCTGCAAGGGAGGGGGTTTCTAATAAAGTGGCCAGTAAGTGTGTAGTGGCACACTAAAGGTCTGTCAAAAGTTGAAGAGGAGTCCTGGCATTTGCAGTTAGAATCCATAAAAGTTAATATCCAGCTAAATGTTTTCCTTAGTATAAACACCTGATTGATAAGTTGCTGATTAGGAAGTGTTTTATATGAAATTATGATGGCAAATTTAAAAAGCAACACCTACTCTTGGTTTAAAGCAGTCTGCAGCAAGCAGGTTAAAACGTCATGTAGAAGAAACAGCTAAACATTTTTCCTGCAGTATGAAGGCCTGATTAATAAGATGCGGATTAGTCAGTGCGTCTCGTGAAATTATGATGCCACGTTGTAAATGCATGACATATTAACATCTAAGAAGCAACACCTACAACTCTCGCTTTAAGGCGGTTTGCATCAAATCATTCATGTAAAACCCAGACAAACCTGCGTCACAGCCACTCCAAGAGCCCTGGAGCTCCTCAATTTTGCTAAAATATTCCAGAGTGGGATGAAAACACTTGAGCTGTTTGAAGTTAAGTGGCTGTGATCCAAGGGGGGGCTGCTCAGAGCCCGTTTCGTTTCTTTATTGCACTAATTGGTGGAGCTTTCACAGGGCTCCTTCGGGCTCCTCTGGCAAAACACAACATTTTCCTCCAGAACCTTCCTGACTGTAGGGAGCAGTGTTGATTGTATCTTGCATGTTCCTGAAGAGCTTCAGGGAAAACCTTAACTGGAACAAGGTGGGAAGAAGATTGCGTTTCATCTGATGCCTGGCTAAAATGAAGGGCTTAGCGAAGTGCATGATGTCATGATGATGTCATGTAGATATCTGTCTCCGGAGAACAGAGCTGAGAAAAGCTGTTCCAGCAACGTGAAGGTTTGAAGGTCCAGGTCTACCAAAACAGTTATTACTCTAAGAGTGATTGACGCGTGCTGTTTCCCAGTGATTTAGCATGTTTGTTCTGGATTAAGAAAATCTTTCCAAGTGCAAAGTGGCACGCTTTGCTCATTTTAAACATACAGCAAGGCTCTCAGGTCATGGAAAACGGTTCTGCCGTTTTCAGTGAAGTCACAAAAGCTTTTAGTAACACAAACAGCCAAACCAAACTTATGATTTTATTAGACTTTAAAACTCATAAATAAGCAGTACGTGACTTTAAAAGCAGGCTCCTTGCATAAAAAGGACAAACAAATGTGTGAAAGAGTGTTGAGCCGTTAAAAGAGGCAAAGGTGTTCCCCAGGGGTACGGACTAAGGTGATGAGTTTACCATGAGGTGGAGAGGAGTCTTAGTGGGCCCCTTGGCAGACATCTTTTCCCACAGCCCCCTCCGAACGTAGCGGACAGTGGTGCCTGCAAGCTCAAACTCCCCCGGCAGCTCGATTTTCCAGTCGTTGTTTATGGATCTTTTGCTTGAGTCTTTCAAAGCTGAAAAAGAGGGAATAATAAAGGTTATGCAAAAGACAACACAGATGCAAAGTATGGAAAATGCCATGATAACTACAGATTCTTTGCTGAATTCAAAGACAAAGTATCACCTTATTGCTACTACTACTACTACTACTTCTAATAATAATAATAATAAAAATAATATTAACTAGAAACGTGCATTTTCAAAAGGAAACACAGAATGGTTGTGCGGCTGAAATGGTTCCCACTTCCTGCTAGGTTGTTGCTAGACGGTTACTATGGTATCCCAGGTGGTTGTGCGTAGGGAGTTGCCAAGTGTTCGCTACATGTTGTTGAAAATGAATGGGAGTCTATGTGAGGAACGAGGGATGAAAAAATGACACATAGAGGAGTGCAGGTCAGTATAGCTGTGAATTAGAGCTTGAGGACCTGCCCTGAATGTGGCTGTCGGGCAAAGAAGTAGTAAAGTTTGTGTGATGGTGAAAATGAATGGGACTCTATGGGAGAAACGAGAGATGGAAAAAAAATGACAAACAGATGAGTGCATGTCAGAACAACACAATTTGTGCTTGGGGGCCTGCACTAAGATAGTATATGTGAAACTGTGTCTTTCAGTCCAGCAGAAGTAGATTGTCGTGCAATTTTTCACACCATTCATTCCTAAGGGAAAAAATTCGGAATTTAACGCAGACTGTATGAAAACCGTGTATCCAATCAAAAAACTGTATAAAAGCCTGAATCACAGAATCAGACCAGACAATCTGGACTTGGAACGTTTTTGATATCTCGGAAACTGTGGGAGGAGCACCACGGCAAAAACAAAAAAAAAAGAGAAGATTAATATAAAATGATTGCTTTGCAATGTGTAATAATAATAATAATAATATTAATTGCTTTTACAGCCTCTTTTTTCAAACTTTACAAAAGCACATAATCAGACTCAAACTTAGCAAAACGTAACCAAATAAGGGACGGATAACATTACCCAACACTAAATGTACATAATTTTAAATATCGTAATCAATGCAGTGCATGGTGCACTGAAACCGATCTTGCCATGTCCTTGTGAAGCTGGTCCTCTAGTCCTTCCAAAGCAATAACAGATTATTTAAACAGCAATAAAGCCACCAAGGGATGCCCTTAATTATTAATCTTAGCTTTGTAGACCATTATCATATTAGTCTTCATTTCTAACTGACAATAGCGCCCAGAGAGACACAGCCCTGGAACCGAACCCCCCCATTCGAGAAAGGAGAGTTCCTCAAACACAAACAGACACCAATCCAGCTTAACAATTACGAGACAGAGTACTTGTTTATAATAATGATTATGAGAAAAACAACCTTAAGCATGCGTAATTCTTCACATGGAATGGTTTGTATGAGACAGTTTTGTTTACTACCAGCAGAAAGTTGAGAAACGTGGTTGCTCACACACTGTACAGCAGAGAGCAGTGTGTGTGTGAGAGACAGACTGTGTGTGTGTGTGTGTGTGTGTGCTTTGAAGAACAGATGTTCCTCTTTCAAAAGGAAGGGTTGGCTTTCAAGTCGCTTCCAGCACTTTTTGGCGGATTTCAAAAAAAAGCCGTGGAGTGTCCTTTCATTACGGAAGCAAAGCCAGACTGAACTAGATGCTTGTTTGCACCTCACGGTGATGAAATCACAAACTGCGCATTTAAGATAACAAATAAGTTGCTAATGTTTTGGCAATAGTGAATATCACACTGCTTACAAATGGCAATAATTAATCTGAATACAGCGCAGGACGTCCCAGTCAGCACTTCCTCTTCCTCTGGCATGCAAACCACAAACAATAAGAATCTGATTTTGACTTTTGCAGGAGTGGCATTGGAATAAGAAGCTCTAATAACTGTGTAAACACTCATCTGTCCATGTTTCTTATCCAGAAAGATATAAATAGACTTTACTGCTACGTGCTTGTAGCTGGAAGAAGCTCCAAAACAAACACTCTGATCCTGACTACAGCTTGACTCATATATATCGATTGGCCTGTAATATTGTTGGATCATATTTGATAATATTCACAACTTGGTTTCATCAGTATCAGCAAAATAAATTACCGGACAAAAAATCAGTCACCTTGCATGTTTAGTAACTTCAGGCTCCTGCAAATGGTGTTGCATGAGGATGATTGGGCTATAAATACCTGCAGGGTGTGTGACGGGATTCATAGATTAAGAAGAGGTGGTACACTGCAGTGAACGTCTTGTTCAATGTGTGGAAAATGGGACTCAAAGCAGATGTTAATGATTGGCAAAAAGGACTGATTGTATTTGGGTGTGCCAAAGGCCATAGTCTGAAGGAAGTAGCTGAATTTGCAGGTGTATTGGTAGCGCACTGTCCCACAGATCTACCAGCAGCGGCAAAAATTCTACAAGTCTACATTCTTGTCAGAATTTTGCCCAAAAGACGAAACTGACAGACAGGGACCGACGGCATGTTTCACAGCTTGTGAATAGAAATCGCTTCGCTTCCAGGCAAGAATTGCTTCTAGGAGTCAACGCATTTCCTTCACAACCAATTTCTGAAAGAACACTAATTTCTGCTCAAAAGTTGCCGGTAACAGTGGGCGAAGAGACACAAAAATTGGACTGTTGATGACTGGAAATGTGTTATCTGGTCAGATGAATCTTGTTTCTGCCTGTATGTGAATAATGCTAGACATCGTGTTAATCGTAGACCTCAGGAAGCCTTTAATGAGGACTGTGTTGAAGGTGTGGTTCAAGCTGGAGGAGCTCTGTGATGTTCTAGTGGTGTTTTAATTATGCGGAAATGGGTCCTTTGGTTGAGGAAACAGTAAATTTGAACAACAGTGTCTACACTGAGCTGCTGGAGGTTTTGCCTTCTGTTCATCATCATTTCGAAGAACATAAACATTCCTATCCCCGTATTCCAAGATGACAATTCGGGCTGCAAATGTGACTAACTGGCATGATGAACATTCAGGAGCATTGACACATCTGGACTGGCCCGCAAAATCCCCAGATCTGAATCCTCTTAAAAATCTGTGTGGTTACCTGGAACAACGAGTAAGACACCAGGGAAGGCATCCACAAAATCTGGCCAAATTGCGCAATTCTTTGATGCAAGAGTGGCTGAACATTGATGTCACACACATCCAGAAATTTGTCCAGTCCAGGCCAAATTGAATCACAGCTGTTATCATGGAGGTATTACAAGCTATTAGGTATGTTTCAGTAACAGGTGACTAATTTTTTGTCTGGTGAGCTTAATTTTAAATAATAATCATGTAGATTTTATCTTTTTCTACTAGTGTTAGAGTGAAAGCTGAAATTGAACATGTTCCGTGGTGAGAGTGGCTCTTGGTTGTTGCTGAGCTGCTTTCATGCTTAGTTTTTCATCTTTTCTGGCTCTGAATTTTCTCCTCTTTCAATCAGCACCACCTATCAGTGAACTCTACATCACTGATCAGTGAGACCTCTACAGCATAAACTGGTGGAATGTGTTTATTTAGCCATTCAGACATGGAATAAAAATTTGACACATCAGAATTTTTAAATGCCAGCCTAAGAAGTTATACCTTATTACTGTTATACCACTAAAACCCTAGTCACAAAGCTTTCCAGGTGCCTACACTGGAAACATCAAGTCTGTGCATCAAATCAAAACAAACAAACTATGGACCAATCAGCTAACAGCTTAAGATATCAACTACAATTTAGTTTGGACTCATGGATGCATTCTGAGTGCACTTTTGTAAGTCACCCTGGATAAGAGCATCTGCTAAATGCCATAAATGTAAATGTAAAGTAAAAAATCAGTTTTTTTAAGATTGGGACATTTTAGCTACATTTTTTTTAGCTACAAAACATTTTTGTAATACTTGTAACTCCAATTTGAATGAGCTTACAGCAATGAAAATGCTGGTACTGCTAACTGAAACCTCCAGAACTCTCTAGACTGTCTCATTTTGGTTAACATCTTTATAAAACCAAATGGACACCTGTTTCCTTATCCATTTTTGGCAGGTTTAACCATGTTTTGACAAGAGGCAGCTGGATTAACCACAGTACTTTTGTTAAGGTGGAATTACTGTGATGTGACGCAGTGCAACACATCAACAAAAGAAACAGGGTGTCCATCTAAAACACTGGCGTCAAACTCAACCATTACAAGGTCCTATTTAAAAATTTCTAGCAGATCCATGGGCCAGCTGTGTTTTAATTTCATTTTTACTTAACATTTTACCATGATCTGAACGAGCCATTGTTTATTTAAAATATGCCAAAACTGCAACAGCAAAACATGCATTGAATACGTGTTGAAGAATAATTCCAGTAGTTTCCGGTATTTTTTTTAAAAAACTGAGTATTTGCTTGAACTATCTGTCTGTCTGCCCTGCGATGGACTGTTGGGCTAGGCTCCAGCTCCCCCCCGTGACCCAGAAGGATAAGTGGCATAGGGTAAAACAGACTTATTAGAATAGAAACTTAAAATAATTTCATGGGCAGAAAGGGACTGTGTCATGGGCCTGACTTGGCCCGCGGGCCTTGTGTTCAACACATGGGATGTAAAAAACAAATAATAAAAATAAAAATCACTGTACATTGCTCTCTGTTGAAGTGGTGAAGACAGCTTCACTGATTATAATGGGAGCATTTCGGTTTTGTTGTCATCATTCACGTCACTTGCTGTTAGGGCAAGCTGTAAGGGATTTGCTGACAGCATTTTCACTCTTGTAGTTGCCATATATACTGACATTATTGGTACAAACAGACAGTGTACCAAAATTTTGCCTTAAACTTTATCAAAAAGTTCACACAACAAAAGAGAGAGGTATAGAAGCATAGCAGGGAAGTAACAATAAAATGGCTGGTGATGATTATCCCTAAAAACCTACACAAAAAACTACACCTGATCTACTTTACCAGCATAACCTTACAGTTTCTCATTAGATTAAATGGGATTTCTGCCAGCATTCTGTAAAGCTCGTCCAACCTCGCGACGGTAGCAACAACAAAAAAAGAAACACACTTGTGGGTGGAGCATGCGCAGGTCAATCGCTTTCATACTCCTCTAATTGATTAAGTGATCAAGAAACCGCATTAGTGCTGATATCCAGCCTGTCACTGCCGCTTAGTGTGGGAGCTATGGAAAGATGACACGCAGCTCCATGTGCTCCTGTAGGGGAGTTGAGTCATCTGTCACACAGCAGCTCCAGAGACAAGCAGGTCAGTCTCTGCAACGGCCTGCGCTCTTTTGGCCAGGTCCAGAAACAGTGAGGTCTGAACCAGTGGAAAGGTGTAGGGGGGCTGGTCGTTATGGCAACAAGATGAGCAATTACCCAGGAAGCTGTGGGATGGCTTGTCCTCCACAACTTTGATTCGCCGAGCTCCCACCGGAATGACAGCTGCCTCGATATAACCTGCAGGGAGGGAGAGAGAGAGAGAGAGAGAGAGAGAGAGAGATGGGATTTCATATTGTTATAATGATGCATGTCTCTGTCAGCATGGCCACTTTATTAGAAACCCCTCTCTTGTAGCTCCACCTTGCTGGTGTACAGTTAGAGACTGTGGCCCATCTGTTGATCCACAGTTTGTGTTAGCATTCCTCTAGTCCTTCATCAGTGGTCAGTTTCTGACCACAGAGCTCCTGTTGGTTGGCTGCTTTGAGTGGTGGTCCATTCTCAACCTGGCAGTGACACTGACATGTGTAAAAACCCTGAAAACACTGCTGAGCTGAGCACAGACACTACGCAAATAATATCTGGACAACAGTGATCCTGGGGTCAGAAACTGACCAGTAAAGAATGGGGTAGCGGGAGGATTTACAACTCTGCAGCAAAAGATGGACTTCAGTCCATAATTATGGAGGTACAAGCTAATAAAGTGGCCAGTTAGTGGAAGTATAAGGTAGGCGTTTCTAATAAAGTGGCCAGTGAGTAGAAATACAAGGTAGGTGTTTCTAATGAAGTGGCCAGTTAGTTGATGTCCAGGGTAGGTGTTTCTAATAAAGTGGCTGGTTAGAGAAGGCACAAGTTAGTTGTTTCTAATAAAGTGGCCAGTTTATGAAAGTACAAGGTGAGTGTTCCTAAAAAAGTGGCCAGTGAGTGGAAGTACAAAGTAGGTGTTTCTAATAAAGTGGCCTGTTAGTAGAAGTACAAGGTGGGTGTTTCTAATGAAGTGGCCAGTTAGTGGAAGTACAAGGTAGGGGTTTGTAGTAATGTGACAGGTATTTTTAAATATAATGCAAAATTCATGCAATCAGAGCAAACCATCTCAGTGGACTGCATCTATGCTAACAAGCAACTCTATTGCCCTATTTTATGGCTTGGTAATGACCTTCTCTGGCCCTACTGACCTATTGAAGCAATCCAAGCACATCTGTCATTACCTGGCAGCAGACTTTAGCAGCTACACACAGCTAGAGGGAAATGAAACAAGTCCGATCCGTGCTAAAGCTAGAGTTAGGCCAGCTTGGCTTCAGAGGTACTTGGCATCAGAGTGCATTAAACTAAAATTGCGTATCTTTGTCAGTTCAGGACCTAAGTGAGAGCATGGTGAGATGGTAAACTCTGATTGAAACCAGAAAAATTCACACACACACACCCTTCTCCATCCTATGGCATCGTGCCACACTGTGTTTGGGCAGTAATGATAAAACAAAGCTGTTCATTTGTTTATAATATCCCCCGCTGACTGAGGCTGCTTTAGTTAATAGAAATTTGCTCAAGCTCAACGTTTAGAAACACATCCAAGAAATGAGATTTAAACATGGAGAGAGAGAGAGAGAGAAAGAAAAAGAGAGAGAGACAGAGAGAAAGAAAGAAAGAAAAGAGAGAAAGAAAAACTGAGAAAAAACGGAAACGGAGTAGGCAAGAGAAAAAGAGAGAGAAAAAAGAGTCGATAAAGCATACCGAATTTAACTGAATTGAGGAAGGGAGGGAGAGAGAGAAGGAGAGAGAGAGAGAGAGAGAGAGAGAGAGAGAGAGAAACAGAGAGGGTGAAACTGGGAGAAAGAAAAAGGGAGTTAGAAAAAAAGGGTGGAAGTGAGAGAGAGAGAGCGAGTTAGAGAAAAAGAAGGGGTGCAAGTGAGAGAAAGAGAGAGGGAGTTAGAGAAAAACAGAGAGGGTAGAAGTGAGAGAGAAAAACAGAAAAAAGAGAGAAAGGGAGTATGCATGAGAAAGAGAGAGAGAAAAAAGAGTGAGGTGCGCCAATAAAGCATGTTGAATTTAACTGAATTGAGAGAGAGGGGGGAGAAAGAAGGAGAGAGAGAGAGAGAGAAAGAAAGAGAGACAGTGAGAGATAAAGAGAGAGAGAGTAAAACAGAGTAAACGAAAACGAGAGAGCGTCTGGTTCCGCTGGAACGTGTGTAATTGCAATGCGGAATGCTCACTTTCAAAAAGCTGAATGGGGTTATTCCAATCTGACCTTTCTGTCGAAAGGGAAAGTGCAGCCAGTAAATATGTGGACAGCGACACATTACGCTTCGTCACTTATCTGTGGGGTCAGCGTAGAGGGCAGCAGACACTGGTCAGGATTAAAGCGACCCTGTAGGATAAAGATGGGCTGATAGAACCAGAAAGGGCAACATGAAGGTAAATGAGGCCTAGCTGTCTTATCAGGTTCAGTGGCGTCTGAAGGGAGGGAAGGAGAAGTATAGGCCACAGTCCTGGAAGTGCTGGGCAATGAGATTCTTTTGTTTGTTTTTGTTTGTGGGAGGTGCATCTCCAATTTACTGATTATAAAGCAATTACCATAATCAACCACTTTATTAGAAACCCCTACTTTGTAGCTCTGCCTTGCTGGTATACAGTTACAGAACTGTACAGTGTGACAATATTGTTACATGTGCTACAAGAAATGAATCATATGTAAATCCAGCCCTAAGACGTCTCTGGATTCAGAACCTGAGGCACCCCATCCTATGCCAACTGTCTATGTTGTCTTTAACCATACCTTCATATAATAAAACATTTCTCTTCCCATTCTGAATTTTTGACTGTAAACATATGTGGATTTGTGAGATCCTGTTGGTGTGGGTTTTATCTTCTACCATGATGCACAAAAACGCTAATACTGCCCCCCTGTGAGGAATCACAATGAACTATTTTAAAAATTCTTTACCTGCTGCTTCTGTCTAAAATGACACTTTGTTAAAATGACAAAATGATCCTCTTATTGGGATTAATACTTCTTATAAATATTGCCTTTATATAAAGGACCTATAAATGACCTATAAAGGACCTATAAAGGAAGAAGTACAAGGTAAGGGTTTCTAATAAAGTGGCCACTAAGTGCAAGTACAAGATGGATGTTTCCAATAAAGTGGCCAGTGAGTGGAAGTACAAAGTGTGTGTTTCTAATAAAGTGGTCTTGAGTGGAAGTACAAGATAGGTGTTTCTAATAAAGTGGCCAGGGAGTGGAAGTACAAGGTAGGGGTTTCTCATAAACTCTAATAAAGTTCTAATGAACTAAACTGGGGTGTGTGTTTCCCAAGCTCCTTTGTTTCTCATTACTGCTTCAGCCCAGTGTGTACTCACCAGCCCCCCCACCACAATCCTCCAGTGTTAATCACAAGCATGCTGCTACTGTCACCTCCAAACACGTTTCCTCTGAAAAGAACCCATTACCACGAAAGCTGCTGTCCCAGAGATCTACAACAGGCCCTCAGCACCCATTTAGCAAAGAATACCCTCCCCGAACACAAACACACCACACAAACCTACCTCACAAGCACCATCACCGTCCCCACAGCTAATGGCTAAAGAGAAACCTCTGAGAACGCAAACTTTCTGATCTCTCAGAAGAGTTTGAACTGGCTTGGTTTCCCATTTTTTTGCTCCAATTAACAAACCATCTGCAGTGTCTACTGTTGGTTTCATTCACGTCTAAGTGGAATTCCACTGATTTTTCAAAATGTCTGTGTAATTCAATTGTTGAAATATAAACAGAGTCATTCAAAGGCCCAAACCCATTTCTTATTTTTACTCCTTCCCCTTGTTTTCGAGTGTCACCTTGCCCCTTGGAACTGAGTTAGAAGGGGTAGTGGTTGAAATTTTCCCTATGAAATGGGACCCTCAAATGAAAAAGAGCATTACTTCATTAACAGGCTACTAGCGCTGCTCTGTAGGTGACCCTGCCAGTCTGCAGTGATAGCAGAGGAGGGTAAAGTTCAGAAACATCGCTGCTGGGCTTTAGTTACATTTAGGGCATCATATGCCTTCAAAGAGGGGGGATACGACAATTATTTATCATCACCCACCCCTAATTCTTCAGTGTCAAGAAGCTGATGTCAGCTATTCGCCAGCTTCTTGTTTAAATTTTCCCGTTATACCCTAAACGGAGCGGTTACGTTCTGGCATTTCTGGCGTCAGAACTGCTGGACTATTTAAGGTGGAACGGGGTATTTAGCTAGCTAGCAACCAAGACATCAGCATACTATTAGCAATTTTTTATGCTTGTTATGAAGAAAAGGACCATAATACATTGAAACATCATTAAACTAAGATAATACGATGGTTATTGTAATTTTTTAACAGAGAAAATGCTCTCTGAAAAACCTCTGTTTGGAGGGCCATGTATCCCGAACACTTCGCCCTACCCCTCTATCTCAACAAAAATCGGGAAACCCTACCCCTAGACGTGAGCATACAAAACAGAAGGCTAAGGGCTAAGTGGTAGGGGCGAGGGGTGAAATGGCATTGGGCCAAAATGATTTGGTGTGAAATAGTTCACTGTGGAGATTCAGATTTCTTTACAGTGGTGGTGATAGGAACCAGGGAGCACTGTTTTACTATCCAAATCACCAGTGAACCTACACACGTTTTATATGTGATGTTAATGATGGTACAACAGTGGAAAACTTGAAAAAGTAAGTTTTCTCTGGGGACTGGTGTGCCTTACAACACCCTGCATGTACCTCTCTGTTATGAAAAGGTCTTAAAAAGTAAGCTTTAGGCCAAAAGCTTATCTCAAAACTATTGTAAAACAATGTTTCAGGTATGAGGCAGCGTTGTCATTACCATTTCACGTAAAAACACTCTGTGAAGGAGCTTACAGGGGGGTAAACTATATAGATCAAACCATCATCTGAATGACTTTGTTTACATTGTAACCATTTAATCCTGCAGAAATGTTGGAAAATCAGCTCAAGTTTTAACAATTAAATAAGATAGAACAAAAAATTAGGGCTCTGTATCAGTGGTCCCAAGCTGAATCACAGTGCAAGGGGTAAAAACTCTTCGCCTCTTCCCTCAGTTATGCTGGGACATAAAAACTACAGAAGCAGTTTGACAAAAAAATCTAGCTTACCCTTTACTTCAAATGTAGTCTCTCAGCTAGGGCATCATTTAGTGCTCAAGGTTTTTTGCTTTCTATTTTTGCACTAGAGCTACGATGCTCCAAAAACCTGTAGTAGCAGCGTCTTCACATTTGAATTTTGCCTGTGTTTATACAGCCCATATACAAAAGTATGTCTTATAGTGTTGGAAACCACATAAGCAAGTCTATTATAGATTACCTAACAACACTACATGAGTTCAGGCAATTGTGTGATGATGTAGACATGCAGTAAGCATGATACTAATTAATGGTATATAACCTGATTTCATATTTGAGGTCAGGTTTCCCATTAAACTAACATGCTGAAATCATGACATGCATACAGCAGGCTGATCTGAGATCAGGGCCTAGACATGCTCAGGGCTTTGTGCGTGGGTTGTACTTGTTAGAAGTGAAAAAGCACAAAAAACTGGTCTCTCCTCCGCACTGTGACTGACTCTCCAGCAGGAAGAGAAGCTGTGAGAATGTTTCATGCTGCGTCTGAGTTTATCAGACTGTGGTTCAATGGGACCCCTGACTACAGCTCCGCTCCCAGGAGAAACCAGCCGAGATGGGTTTCTGTAGCAATAGGTCAGCATGACTGTGTTACACACGCAAAGGATACACACACACACACACGCTCATGCACAAGCATGCATCTTACATGAGAAACACTTGGGAACTGCCCTGGATTTTGACATCACACACGTAGAGACCTTCTTACAATGGCTAGGGGGGACTGGAGAACAGAGAACCAGACATAGTCAGTGGTGACAGAGAAAAGATGGGCTAGTGATCTACTCCCTTACTTATATGCTAGTTTTAAAAGATGTTCAATATAGTTTATGTTTGCAATGTGCCAACCTCATTTTATTAACCCCCGAAATGACCAGAGCTCGCCAGCAGGCCCAAAGTTTTACTAAACACTTCTATAACCTAAGAATAGCTCAACTACTTAGCACTGAAGTACCTGTAATTATTGAATAATAAGCCTTAGTATGTAATAAGCCTGGGATTTCAAGAGGTTAAACTGGCCGTTTTTGTTGCGCTTTTAAGACTGATATACAGCACTGCATGAACATTAGAGTTCACCCTTCACTTAATTTCCAGTCAAAACGGACAGTAATTACACATTACTTCTTTTTCAGGAGACATTTCTAAGGACGATTAGACAACATAATCCACTTTGCATAAGGGAGAAGAAAAAAGACTTTGGAGGTGTGTCTGCAGATTTCTTTGAAAAACTGAAAGTGAGTCTTCTGAAAAGAATGGAAGCTGTAATAAAGGTAAGGAGTGACACACTAAATACTGAAAAATGTATATTTAGTTGCTGATGCTTCTGAGTAATTTTGAATTTAGAATTTTTTTCTGATGCTAAAAATACATAACTTGTACTTAATGATTGTTTTGACTCCACATCACTTTGATGGGAATGGGCAGAGCTTCACCGCTGTAAGCTGATGGGTGCGCATATGTAAATTAGTTAATAGCCATGTAATCACAACCACAATGACTTCAATAAATTCTCAGCGTTGTTTCAATAAGGAAAGACTTTATAAATGAGTTTTATAAAGTCACAAGTGGGCGAGTGCATGTGCGGTACAGCGGAATAGGCCTAATAATGCTTGAGCTCCTCAATTGAGGGGTGTCTGGTACACTGTGGGAGCATTTTGCTGGCATGGTTTGGGTCCACTTGTTCCCTAAGAAGGAAGGGTCACTGCAAATCATTACAAAGCCATCCTGACTGATCACTTTTGTCCTTTAAGGATAGGTTTCTATCCTGATAGGAGTGGTCTCTTCTAGGATGACAATGCCCTCATCCACAGGGCACAAGGGGTCACTACATAGTGTGATGAGTAATGATATAAATCTTATGCTATGGCCTTTGCAGCCATCAGATCTCAAACCAGCTAAACCCCTTTGGGAGGATTTGACCAACATGGTGGACAGCGCTCTCCACCACCATCATCAAAACACCCACTGAGGGAATACGTTTTGGACGATTGGTGCTCCATCTCTCCTGTGCAGTTCCAGAGACTTGGCCCAACATATTATTATGAAACAAATAGTTCTGGGCCTAAAATCTGATTGGCTGAGCCGCATTCGAAGGCGTTGTAAAATCCATGATATATGCATGCCTATGACCACCTCACAACAACTAAATTGTGTATCACTGCACCACAGCACAAAAAACCCTTGTGCTGTTAATGAATAATATTCGACTCTCATGCTGCTCACATGGATCACCGAGTGCACTGTTGAAGTAGGAACACTTTTTTTGTTTAAACTGAGGGGCTGGCAACTTATGTTCTTAACTAGAACTAGGTTGGTCAGCTAGCTGATAGGCTAAAAGTTAGCCAACAGCCTTAACAACTCAATCATTAATATCACAGGCTTGAATTAAAGCACTTACGGTATGATTAACTGTAAAACGGCAGTATAAAAGTCACTTCAAATAAGTCGATTGAACGCTTCAAATGTTCATGTTTCAGTCAGAAGTAGCATCAAACCCAGACTGAATCCCAAACAGCTCCTTACTCCCTAAATAGTGTGCTATGAGAGATTAGCCTCTACAGCCAAATAGTGCATCATTTATTGAGTATGGATGTGAAGCCAAATGACTATTTCTTAGCTATATTTTGCACCGTTGGGGTGCATCATTCAGCATTTAAATTCCTACATAGTGCACTATGTAGGGAGCAGGGAACCATTTGAGATGCAGCCCCAGTACAAGAAGAAGGGTGCAAATGGATTGATGCCAAATAAGACTCGCGGTGGTAATTTGGTGACTAAAAATCAAAAAAGTTGAAATGAAATGAAATGACCGCAATATACAGCGACGGGCGACCGAATGTTCTCCTCATTCAGAGGTCCATGGTTGCTTGGCAACAATACCATACTCTAAAGGAACTATGTTTATTGGCAGAATACTTGTTTATGTTTATTATTAATAATAAATTATTTTCTGAAAAATTGTGTATTTTATCATATTTTATGTTGGCCACCATTTTATAAAAGCAATAAGCCACTTGAGGCCCTGCGTGACTTTAGGCTAGTTTTTCCTTTAATATGTACAAAAAAACAAACCTTGGCTTAGACTCGCCCGTGCTGCCACAAACAAGCTGACCCAAAAAGGTGCCACTCGTGATTTTTTGTATCACTTTGTACAGAATGAAAACCTCTGGTTACTCCAGAAGATGATCCACGATCCTCACAGACAGACCACGACAATCACACTCACAACAGAGACTAACAGCTGGAGCTGCCCAGCACTTCTGGTTGGTCCAGTGAGCTTGGACAGACAGAGAGCTCATTAAGGCGAGGGGAGAAAAACACTGCTCAGGTGGTACAAGCAGCCTGTGTTTTGGTGCATGCCACAACGGTCACGGCTCTGGCACAAGCTTTGCTGCTGAAACAGCAGTGATGTTTTATGAGTGGAGCCGGGTTGTGGCTGTGTGGGATTCAGTCAGATTCAGTCTAGCAGTGCAGAGTTAGCATGATTTATAGGCTTTAAGGTTCAAGGCTTCCCTCGCCCACACATATCTAGATATTTTTGAAAAAAGTTTTTCTCTGCGTTTTTGGCCTCAAAAAACAGCATTTTTATTTACTGAAATGTAATGTTACAGCATTCGGGTTCTTGTAAATGAGGCATCACCTCAGATCAAATATTAAAAATACCTTAATGAGTGCGTTTACATGTACTTAATAATTCGATAACTGCAGAAAATCTGATTTTGTTAGTAATCCAATCAACATGTTTACATGCACTTGAGTTTTCAGATAATTGGGAAACTCCAGGTCTACATGAGTCAGACAGTAATCGGATTTCTGCTTTGCAACCAGCCAATAAACTCACAGAAGAAGAAAATATGAACATACATCATCTAGAAGATGAAGATTTGTTAAATCCTTTATTTCCTGTATGGTTTTAGCGTCGATTCAAAGGTGTTTCGCTGTCTTCTCGCTGCTTGCTTATTTCTGTTACCGCTGTTTGTTTTCGTGCATGCGCAGACTGAGGAATCCGAAAGAAATCAGAGTAAGAGTACACATGCACTGAGAAATCTGATTACTGAGCTAAAAGATCGGAGCATGGTGTTTACATCACCGTTTGAATAATCGTCAGAAATCCGATTATGATCGGATTATTTAGCGCATGTATACACACTCGTTGATTTTAAAGATGTGTGACTTGATGAGCTAGATGTCTGATCAGGACAAAATAAACAACCCCATATCAAACGGTAGGTTTTCTTTTGTTTTTTAAGCTTTTATTTTGTGGCAGATATAGGACTTTTAGTTTGAAATATCAAATTGTGGAGACAGGATGGCTTGCAGGTCAAAGTCTACTGTAATTGTAACACATTGTCGTCACATTAAAAAATCTCTGCTGTAGCTTTACTGCTCATTCTGTATTTTGTGCAGTGCGCATGCTCACAAATTCTTCCTAAAGTGTATGACATTAAATATAATGGGATATTATATGGGATATTATTGCCTCCTACTGGGCTGGCATGCTCATGCAAGTGTTTTTGAGTTGTACTTGCATTCTAATGTGGTTAGAGATTTTCAAAAATTTTTTTTTACTAAATATTCAGATATATGTGGACAAGGCCTAAGAATGAAGTACAGTCTAAAGACTTGTGCTGTAGTCCTAGTCCCTTTTACTGTGTATTACAGAGTGATTGCACTACAGGCTTAATTGTATGCCTGGAAGAATAAAACGAGGAAGTTTCTTCTTTGTTTTGCCTTAAAGGAACAGAGTTTTACAATCGAATCTCTGTCTGCAGCATCTGTAGAGCACAGCCGATTACTAAAGCCAATAATTCCAATGAAATGAAGAGCAGAAAACTTTTGGGTAGCTATTGGGTAGTGGCTGAATTCAGTCTTCAATAATGTTGCTGACGCAAGACATACATTTAGTAAAATTCTAGTTCTAGTAACGGACAACGATATCAGAATCATATCGGTAGAATATTAAAATGAATCAACATAGAGTTGATGCTTAGACTGGACCAATGTTAAATGATGAATATATTGTGAGATCATTTAGATCAGGAGTTTCCAACTCTGGGCTCACCCAACCAAACACAAAGACTTTTGCGGCCTAAAAGAAGATTTAACCAATAAGAGAAGTTTAACATTGACTTGCACTGGAAAACATATCTAGCTATCAGTCACGCATTTTGTCTGACCAATCACTGAGCTCTGCCTAAATATTTAGGCATTTTTCACGTTTTATTTTTGCCAGTAATTATGATACGTTTTTCATATTTTAAATTGTTGGTTTGGTTAAACGTCAACATAATGAAATTTTGCAGTTAACAAAAACATTACAAAATGATGAAGACCACCATGGCTCACTTTGCGGCCGTGGCCCATAGGTTGAAAAACACTGGTTTACATGACGCTGTGCTAAAATGCCTGTATTTTATTCATTTTACTGCATTTATAACCCTCTACAAAACAAATCTTAGGTTTCTCTAACACTTATACAGAAAGATCTACTCTCAATTTGTACATTATCTAAATGTGCATATATCAGCATCAGCACTGGCATCGACAGATTTGTACATGAAAAGTATCGGACGTCAGCATCGACCCAGAACTCCAAGATCATGAATTCCTAATAAACATGTTTATATTTGTAAATTAATCTGCAAATCTGTAATTCATTCTTTCAGATATAGGCCTAATTTTCCTTTTTCATATCTAGTGTTGTGGTTTGGGTGGAGTTTTTACAGGCTCTACCTCCGTATGGTTCACTTGAATGGCCTGTAGCTTTTTCATTGTTCTCCAGTGTTTAATAAGAACAGCTTTGCTAATACATTCTTCCATGTTTGTTTCCTCAATCCTTCATTTTTAGAGTACAGGTGAAGGTTGGAAAGGGTGATGGTCGCAAAGAAAGAAATTAGAAATTAGAAATTTGAAAGTAATTAGTAAAAAGTAGGTTTTACAACATTTTCATTGTGTATTGTCTCTACAAGATTCATTATTTGTTGAAAGCTTGATTTTAATATGTATTTTATTAACTTTTTGAAGACACAGTTGAGATAAAACTAGCCTGTCAGCATCCACGTTACTGTCATTTATCTTATATTTTTGCTGCTAGAAAAAGAGTCATCAGCCTATCATTAAAAAAACTGTGAAAAAAATTGTTTTTAACTTAAAAACAGTGCTGGGCTACATAAACATTTTGTGCTAACTGAATTTCAAATAATAAGTTGACAGAGTGTAAGTTACTACTATAAGTTACTACTATAAGTTTAATTAACTCTTTTAAACTTTTAAAGTATGTTTAATTTAAAACACTATTTTTAGTGTACGTGCAGCCTAAAAAATTGTTTTTTTTTAACTAAAAATGTAAGGAAACCTGGTTGACTGTCTCTCTGGCTCCGCCTGCTCTCCTCCTCTCCCACACACCTGCAGCTCCTTTTGGACTCATTAGGACTGCTTTATATACCTCTTTGTTTCCAACATGTGTTTGCAAAGTCTCTGTGCTGCTACCTGTGTTAGTCACTTGAGTTCTGAGCCTGTTTCTCGTGCTTGGTTTTCATTGGTTTTGGCCCCTGCTATTCTCTTTGTTGATTATCGATCTGCATCTTCTCCTGCCTGCCTGTGTGTTGACCCCTGCCTGCTATATTCATGAGTGTCTCAATGCCCCTAATAAAGTCACTTCACACTTGCAACCTGCCTCAGACCCTATGTTACATTGACTTAACCTTTTGAGCTTATTGAACCTCAAATAAATAGTTAACAAACACAAAACATACATTATTGTTCTGTTAACTTAATATTATGAACTTACTAAGTTCAACAAACTCAAGATTTTTAAGTCAACTATGTTAATATACTTTTTTGGTTAAAAAGCTTAATCATTTTTACAGTGTTTTTACGTGATTTTCCCTTTTTTTATTTTTAGAGTTGTGAGACCTTAAAATGCCAATGACTGAGCTATCTTAACATGTTTGTAACATGTTTGTAAGTGTTCGTTAAAGAAACATTAAAAAGTCCAAAAAGTGGAAATTGCACCATCTGTAGAGTTTCAACAGGCCACGACACAAATAGTCACATATTTCCAACATTTACTCCTGGAATCCAGCAACTGCCCACTGGCTTTTATAAGTGAGTATTTCTGTGTTAATCGACATGATGACACAGGTGAGGTTAGGCTGAAAACGTTGAAGTATTCCCTTAAGTGTGGCTTTAAATGCATGGCCTAGTCATTCTGCAAAGCATCATGTGACTGTGGTTCTAGGAACTTGACAGACTGGGATTTATGTGACCTCAGAGATGCCGTTAAGCTTCTGGACACTTTTCTGACAAACGACTTCCTTTGATTGGCAGAAAGTGCACCATTCGGGCTTCTGTTCAAGTCTGTTTGATTGAAGGTCAAGAGAGGTCAACAGCTGCCAGAGAGAGAGATACTTTAACTGTCCGCAATCTTCAGAGGTGTGGAAACGCCCTTGGAGCGGTGTGTGTGTGTGTGTGTGTGTGTGTGTGTGTGTGTATGCACGTGTGAGGTCTCGATGTTACCCACATGCACATATAAGGCCTGTGCTGGTAACAGAATCCTATTATTCAGGTGAGCATGTGGAAAAACCTCTGTAAGTACATCTGCTGAGGGTTCCAAGAATGTCATGATGAAGTGTCCAGAAGCACCAGCAGATGTATTCAATAACTGTTATAGAGATACTACAACAACTACTAAAAATAAATAAAAAATAAAAAAATACATGTATTATTATTATTATTAATAATAATAATAATAATAATAATAATAATAATAATAATCTAACTGTAGTACCAATGTACAATTTGGTTTATATGTATTTAATTGAAAACTGCATAAAAAACATTTTTTTTTTCCTGCAACATAATTCAAAAAATCTGATGGGGCAATTTAAGACTGCAAAGTTTGTGGAATAGACTACAGGTCAAACAGGACTTGCAAACCTTAAAATGCCCTAAGAAATGTGTTTTTCCAATGTCTGAACTCTGACGATGTGGTCTTTGAATGTTCTAAAATGTACACCATACCACAGAGACAGCTTTCTGTACAGATGACAGATGTGATAACAGCCTGCAGCAGTGAGCGTGTTCAACCAGCTCAGCTCAACAGCCGTGTTTACAGAACAATCTCTCTAAATCTCTTTAAAATTCCATATTTAGGAGTGTTGTCTGTAGAAACTTCAACAAAACATGTAAACCCTTTTTTCTGGGGGATGTTCTGGGGGATTATTATAAGAGGTTATCAAGTCACTGGGTAAAGGCATAACACATACACACAGATGCACATGCACACACACACACACATATACACTCACAACAAATGCCGGAAGACCTCAAAACTGACTAAGTCATTCAATATCCACCACACATGTTAACACAAACACACACACAGATATCCACAGAAGCAGCAAACAAATATAAATAGCATCCTCTTGTTGGTTTTTAAGAGTTTGAAAAGTATATCAGGACATCAGGACTAAATCAGGACTATTTCAATTAAAGCTTAATATTCTTAATCTGCCAACATAATTAACATCTTATAATAACTGCTGTTAATATTTAATTACATGAATTCACCAGGCCCTCACTGCAAGCAAGATGATGATTATAACCACGGCTGTAAGTAGAAAATATTTTCATTTTCGAATATTCTGTCATAAGAAGAGATATGCTTCATTTTTAACGTTTTGAAATATTACAAGGTAATTTAAAAACATCTCAGTTATTATAAGTATTTATAGCAAGTTACACTAATATGTGATTCTACCCAATCTGGCAACCCTGATTTGGCTCTGAACAGCAGTGAGCGGAGGAGGACAGCAGGAGCAGCATCTTTTTAACTGTTTTAGAACTGAAAACAGCTTTTAGGTGAACAGAGATGTGCCAAGGCATGTGCTAAACGCAACCACGTCATCTTTAACAACCAGGGCAATCTAAATAATTTTCCTATAGCTCTACAGCTAGCTAGCAATCAGAAGACAGCAAAAGTATTTGGATTGAACGTAAGCTAAAACTGACACTGTTGCTTGGAATTGCAAATATCTTAAGATGTGTCAGGTCACAAGAAGCTAGCAAAAGTGCCTGAATTTGTACAAGTGATGAACTTGTCCGTTATTTGAAGGGCTTTTCTGTTTTTGAAGATTTCAGTTATCGAATGCATCGAATATTATTGAATAGTTCTTGCTGCCCTAGATATAATCCATTCTCATCCCTTTAGTATTCACTCCATCTCTCTCTCTCTCTCTCTCTCTCTCTCTCTCTGCTCACTCACCCATCCCTCTGGTGTGGTTAAAGTCTCCCTTGACGATCTTGCAGGACTTTCCGTCTCCGTTACACACTCCACAGCGGTCTTCCTTTGCCGAGGAACCAATGATGCCATCGCAGCCGATTTTCTGAAGCAAAAGAGAATGAAGAACAAAGAGTGAGGGACAAAATCTACTTTGATCCGAAACGTCAGCACAATAAAGTTTCCCTTTAACATTCCTACACTCCCTCATGACCTACTGACCTGCCTTGTCTTACATTCTGTTGAGTTATTGCTCATTCACAGTGCTGTTTACAGAAAGAAAAACGATTCTTTACATTCATAAAGAATTTTTAGCACTTTAACTATGTATTTATATTCAAAATTTTGGTAACACTTTATACAGAGTGGTCCTTCGTAGATCATTAACAAACTCTTTTATTATCAGTAACACATCAACAACATATCAGTGAAATAGCAGTATTGAAGCATTTGATTACATTGAAATAAATATCTTGTAGATGTTCTGTTGATACATTACTTACATTAAGTAGATGTGTTGTTAATATGTTACTTCAAATATGCAAAACGTAACCTTGCCAACCTTACCCAAAACCTAACCCTCACCCTGGCCCTAATAATAACCCTAATCTTAACCTCAACCCAAAACTTAATCCTAACCCTAACCTTAACCTCAATCCAAAGCCTAATCCTAACCCTAACCCTGGCCCTAATCCTAACCCTCATATGTTTTTGACATGTTACTGAGAGTCTGTTGAGTGTTTGTTTCATCTAAAAAGGACCCTCAAAATAAAGTGTCACCCTTATATTCACCCAGAAAAATCAACAAAACGTTATTTAACCATGTGTGACCTTAAAGTAGTTGAGTTCACTCATTAGAAGGGCTGTCTGGATCATTTTGGACGTATAGTGTGTATAGTGTTATCTCATAATTAGCTGCACTATAAGCGCAGAAGTGTTGGTTCTAAATGAACGTCACAGACGTCTTTGTTATGAAATTTCTTCCAGGCATTATACTCATGATTTCTGCTCTGTTACATCATGAGCGCAGCAGGGCTCCAACAATACACCCCCACACACACACACAGACAGACAGACAGAGAGACAGACAGGCAGACATGCAGAACAGTCCTCCTAAACAGTTGTGTAACTCACTGAAACACATCCAGCATTTCCAAATCACATGAATCAGCAAGACAGAGACTGATAGAGGAGAGAAAGAGAGACAGCGAGAGAGAGACAGGGAGAGACAGACAGAGAGAGAGACAGAGAGAGAGACAGAGAGAGAGAGAGTTTGCTGAAAAAAACCAAATAAATGACATGCGGGGGGCAGTCAGTCAGTGTGTTTACAGAGCCCCAGAGCAACACTCTGAGTGTGAACACAAACACACACACACACACACACACACACACACACACACACACACACTGAAGTCTTCATTTGAAAAGATGGCAAACTACAGACCAGATACTGATCCTCACTAACAAAGCAAGTGACCTCACAGGAGGATTCTCACAAGTGCTAATGTGGCAAAGTTTAGAGAGAGAGAGAGAGAGAGAGAGAGAGAGAGAGAGAGAGAGACTGAAATAGAGCAAGACAGAGAAAGAAAGAAAGAAAGAAAGAAAGAAAGAAGAAGAAGAAGAAGAAGAAGAGGGAGAGAGAGAGAAAGAGATGGAGAGAAGGAGGGAGGGAGAGAGATGGAGAGAGAGAAGGGTAAGCATAAAAGAGAGGGAGCAAAAGAGAGAGGGGGAGAGAATAAGAGGGAGAGAGAAAGAGCAAGTAAGAGAAAAAAGAGGAGGAAGAAGAAGAAGAAGAAAGAGAGAGGGAGGGAGAGGGAATAAAGGGGATAAAGTTTGAGAAGAGAAAAACAGAAAGAAAGCAAGACAAAGAAAGAAAGAAAGAAAGAAAGAAAGAAAGAAAGAAAGAAGAAGAAGTTGAAAGAGAGATGGAGAGAGGGAGGGAGAGAGAGAAGGGGGAACAAAAAAGAGAGGGAAGGATGTAGAGAGGAAGCATGAGAGAGAGGGGAAGGAAGAGAGAGAGAGAGAGAGAGAGAGAGAGAGAGAGAGAGCATGTGTTAAGCAGGTTACTCAGTGTCTGGAAATGATTTCATGAGTACAGTGGAAGTAAAACACCTAAAACACGCGAGCACATCCACACAGCAGACCAGGTACAGAAGGGTTTACTGAGGTCTGTTTATATTATGGACAATATTAAAACCATTTTAAAACACTGTAAACATTCTGGGCCTCTGCCTGAATAAATCGAATGATCAATTCTGCATTATTGGTGCATAATCCAGGCACATTTGGCTCTGCCTGTGCTCAGCTGCGGTGCGCTTTTCTGTTTGTGCTTCCACATCTGTCTGTGACCTCCTGCATGTGTATTTGTGTAATTCAACGCATATTAGGCTGTGTGTGAGTGTACTTGCTTGCAATGCATGACACACTGTAATTACATCCATGTGTGTAAGGCTGAGTGCTGGCTCAGCATGTGGAGTGTTACATTCAAAACATGTGTAAGTGAGTCTGCCTCAGTCAGCTCCGTTCAGCTCCATTCAGCCCCATTCCGGCCCATTCAGACTATTTCAGCCTTATGTAGACCTACTTAACCTCAGTTAGCTCTATTCAATCCCATTCAGACTCATTCAATTCCATTCAACCTCATTCAATACCATTCAACTTAATTCAGTCCCATTCAGCCTCTTTCAACCTCATTCAATTTAATTCAACCTCATTTGTTCCCATTCAGCCTCCTCAACCTTATTCAATCTCATTCAGCGTCCTTCAACCTCATTTCATTTCCATTCAGTCTCATTCAACCTCATTCATTCACATTCAGCCCCATTCAACCATATTCAATTCCATTTAGTCTTATTCAACCTCATTTAATTCCATTCAGTCTCATTCTACCTCATTCATTCACATTCAGCCCCGTTCAAATTTATTTCATTGCACTCAACCTCATTCAGGCTCATTCAACCTCATTCAAACCCATTCAGCCTCATTCAACTTCATTCATCTCATTCAGTCTCATTCAATCACATTCAATTCAGCCTCATCCAGCTCCTTTCAATCCCATTTAGCTCTCATTCAGCCTCAGTTAAACCTACCCAGCCTTATTTAGCCCCATTAAATACCATAAAACCATTCAGATTCATTGAACCCCATTCAAACTCATTAATCCCCATTCAGGCTAATTCGGCCACATTCAACCCCCTTCAGGCTAATTCAGCCACATTTAGTCCCATTCAGACATATGTTACCCCATTTAGCATCCTTTAGCCCCATTTAGCCCCATCCAACCTCATTCAGCCCCATTCAGTCACATTCACCCTAACCAGCCCCATTTAGACTAAATCAGCCTTATTCAGACACATTTAAAACCCACTCAGGCTAATTCAGCCCCATTTAATCCTCTTCAGACGCATGTAACCCCATTCAGCCTAACTGTGCATCCTTTAGCCTCATTCAGCCTCCATTAACCTCATTTTGCTCAGATCAACCCTATTAAGCCTCATTCAACTTCACTCAGCCTCATTCAGTTCCATTCAGAACAGCCAATACATAATCAGTCTGAATAGAGTCAGTACTCAACACTGCTTTGAAATACAATACAAATCTTTAGGGAGACAGTTGGGAAGTGAGAAAGTGACATACAGATGAAGAAAGGTGATGTCTTATTTTTCAGGAGGTATTTCTGAGAAAATAAGTCAAAAGAAAATAACAGTGAAAAAAACATGAGTGGAGTTAAAAAAAAAAAGATTAAAAGCCACAGAGAAAATGGGGCTCCTAACAACCACCTGGAAGTCTTGGTAAATACCAAAACTGCCCTCATCAGACTTAAAGCTTTCATCTCTGAGAGAGAGGAGAAATCCAAGTTGCTTCAGATCTGAAAACATCCACAGGTGTTTCTGTCCATCCTTCCACTGTGAGAAGACAACTCAGCGCTATGGGTCTGAAAGGATGTGTAGCTGTCAAGAAGAAACTCACTAAGAAAAGGAGACACATCAAAGTCCAGACCTCAACATTACTGAATGACATTCGTCTTTTTATTGCCTTTTAAATTACGTTTTTTTCTTTACTAGTTTGTACAAAATACCATTTGCTTCATCAATCCATCTGTCTTTCAGACGGTAAAGTGTATGTGCTGTGTCTCTGCACATACAGCGTCTATTAATAAACCTGGCTGGACAAATCAGGAAATGAAGGCCTTCTCAGTGACCCGGTCACCTCCTTGGCCAATTAAAACTTCCTGTTCCCACATGGTAGAGCGAGGAGGCTGGAAATGTTGGAGACCAGGCTAACCTCTTACTCTGAAATGTAGTCTGAAGGAGCACCTCATGGCCTTGAACCCAAAAGATGTGATTTTAGCCCTTTAAAAGGCCATTTGGTCTAAAAGTAGCATTTAAAATGTTACTGCAGCCTCTCAGCCGCATCAGATTGACAGAATTCACAGTTTTGTACTGTTTTCATGTTTTTCATCCATCTATGTTCTCACACTACAATACCCAGCATGCATTACGCAAGCACATAATACAATTACTGGGAATCTCTAATGCACCCAACAAATACCGAGTGCTAGCCACTGCTTTAGAGGCTAATTAATACATCTGTGGTGGTAGTTAGCACTAGAGATACGGCACTGACCTCACTGGTCATGTTTTTTTTTTTTGTTTAAAAAATATTTCAGCCACTTAGTGAAAAAAATATTTCAAACAGCCCCAAGAATCCACTCCAAATCACTTGTAGTCTTTTGAAGTGTACTTACACTTTCAAGATATACCATCAGAAGGGGGGGGGTCCTAATCTATTAACGAAGAAACTGCTTAAGAAACAACTGCAGCATCACTGTAAGAGATGAGTAGCATGTTTTCAACACATATAGCAATGGTTACATTTTTCATTTGGGTCAGGAGCGTCTCTTTAATATCAAAGGTTCTTTAAAGGACCATCCATTGAGGTTCTTTAGAGAAATGAAAGTGGTTCCTCTAAGGTATCACCTATTGTTCTTGATACTTTTATTTTTAAAAGTGTGGTATAAGTCACAGTCACAAAAAGAGTCTGTTTCATTTTAAGCAATAAAAAGATGCTGGAAAACAATCATGTAAAAATGAATTATGACTTGTTTGGTACAAAAATTCATAGAGGTCTCATAAGTGGACCTTAAAAAACAGTAAAATGCAAGAAAGATGTGGGATATGGGCCCAAGAGGAATTCTACACTTTTGACATATGCCAATAATTTGCATGTGTAATTAGAACAAGATTTTTTATTATGATTTGATGGAAAGTTATTGTGTATATAGGAATTTATTGTCATTTTATATATCGCTGCTGTCAGAACAAAACCTTGTATCTCCAAAATGATAATTTTACAGGAGAAGGAAAAAACATACTTGACTTTTAATGCAAGTCAGTGGAACCAGACTTTTTTCCAAGTCATTTTGAGCCATTTGTGTTGATCTATGTTATTAATCGTCACAATTCCGGCTTCTCCTCCCTTGCCTAACATGCTCCAGGACATTTCCCAGAATTCCTATCATCATGACATCACCCCTTCCACCAATCACAGGCCTCTGCCCATTCACAGTCACCCGATTACTAATGCAACACACCTGTGTTCGTTTGCTTTAGACTTTAAAAGGATCCTGGTTTGTTCTCCTCATTGCGAGGTATTGGTTTACTGATTGTTCCTCTTCTGATTTCATGACTAGTGTTCTGAACCCATTGCCTGGTCTTCGACTATCACTCTTTTGGATTTGCCCTTTTGCTCAAGTTGCTTGTGTTTTTATATTTTCTGTTTTTTTTTACTTTTTGCCTGTCTTTGGATTCTGATTTTGGATTTGCCCTGACCAACCTGCGTTTTTGAGATCCGCGAGCATCTTTCTGTGCTTGTTCAGCATTACATTAATAAAATAAGAACATTGCTTGTATAGCTAACAGTTAGGTTTTTTATAAGCACTCTGCTTCAAACATACCTGACACTTCCCGTTCACACACAGGTCACTCTCGTAGGGTCCGCAGGGCGTCCCATCCAGCACTCTCTCAGCCACCAGCACGGGGGCATCCCTGCCCACCGGAGAACAGAACAGAGCACATGGCTTCTCTAAGGACACAAACACACAGACATGGCGTAAAATAACTGCTCCATTTTTCTGCAATAACCAGACTTTCGCTTCCTTTAAAGGCCCGTATTCTAAAGGGTTTTTTTGTGTTCCTTCTGAGGCCCATATAGACTTTAAGTAAGATATCTCTGGGTATTTGCACGTGCGAATTAATTTGTTTCCTTTGGGTTTGTTTTTCTTGTAACAGATTTTTAAAAACTGAGGCTATATTTCACATGGTTGTCTGGCATGTCAGTCAATCGGCCCTTTCCTGTCAAAGTAGTTGGTTCTAGTTGACATTAAGATGCAAAACAAAACAGACCCTCTGATGACAGGAAGAAGTCTGGCTTGGAAGAGTAAGCTCCTCTACACACCACTGCCCCCTATGCACCACATTGTAGGCTGAAGACTTCTATAAAAATGAATTACAACCTTTCACAACTTAAGCTCATAATTACATTATGTATCACATTGCACCCTGGGAAGAGCATCTGTTTTGCACTCTGTAGACCAACAACATCAGACTGAACTGAATTGGAGGACACAGTTTGTTGACATGTGAATAAATTAGTCATTGAACTTGGTAAACTGAACTGAATGGAAGTATCACTAATGAAATGCTAAATAAAACCCAGAGCAGGTGACCTCAGGGACGGTCAGCAAGGTAGATGCAAGAGAAATATGAAAGAAAAGTGGAGGTCAGTCTACCATTTATATAGGGAGGGTTAAAATGGATATAACTTTGCACAGTGTATCCAGAAAGCCCTTCTAATAAGTGACTTTACTTTGACCCCTTACATGGCCAGGGCCCACCGGCATGCCCTGTTTAATTCCACACTTCTATAACCTAAGAATGGCTCAGCCAGTATGCATTAAAGCACCTATAGTTACTGAATAATAAGCCTTAGCGTGTAGTAAGCCTGATTTTAATGGGTTAGGGTGCACACATTGCTGACACCTTGTATAATCTCCATAGAAAAGCACTGTCAATAGAATGGGATACTCTGGAACAGCCATACATGAGCCTAAGGTCACCATGCCAAATGCCAAGCATCAGCTAGAGGGGTATAAAGCCCCCCAGCATTGGGCTGTGAGCAGTGGAACTGCGTTTTCTGGAGTGATGAAGCTCCATCCAACACCTTTGGGATGAGTTGGAGTGATCCAGAACTGATCATCCAACATCAGTACCTGACCTCACTAAAGCTCTTGTGGCTGAATGCAATCAACTCTTCACAGCAATGTTCCAACATGTAGTGTAAAGCCTTCCCAGAAGAGTAGAGACAGTAACTGCAGCGAAAGAGGACAAACTGCCTATTAATACCTTTCATTTCAGAAGAACTGCTGGAGGAGCAGGTGTCTACAAACTTTGGACATATAGCGTACTCATTCAATCAGAAAGTGAAACTCTGGGTCTGGGGATGTTTATGCCTGGCCCCACACATCAAAAATCAGTTTCTGTGGCAGTCCGATCCGGACCATACAGCTTCCAAATCTGGCTTTGAACTTCTAGAAAGGACATCATATCACTGAAAAGTGTGTGCTTGGAATAGGTCGAGTGCATGGACACTGCTGCTTTGGCTTTAGCTTGTGAGTGGACTAATTGAGAAGATCAGAGGGCTGTGGGTTTGATTCCCACAGCCGTCCTCACTCATTCATCAGGAGAAGATGAAAGCGTCTCTATGGACAGATTTAATGGTTGGGAGTGCTCCTTGAACTAGCAGACTGCCGCTCTAATAGAGTAGGTTTGTCCAGATTGTGTGGGTTTTTTTGTGCAAGTCAAAAAGCTTTCTGAGTGCTTTTACTGCTGTTTTCATTGTGCTAGAAGCTTGTAGATGCATTGACAATGGACTCCAGTTCATTTGCAGAGTTCAACGTAAATTGCTTCTGTGTAGCAAAATATAATAAAGTAAATGCTTGGCAAAGACTCTTTGAAATAAAGCTAGTCTAAAAAACAAAAAACAAGACAGAGCATGAAATGTGTGCTTCACACACTTCCTGACCTCTTTATTAGAAATACCAACTTTGTCCTTACACACACTGGCCACTTTATTAGAAACACCTACCTTGTCCTTACACACAGTGGCCACTTTATTAGAAACACCAATCTTTTACTTCCACTTAATGGCCACTTTATTAGAAACACCTACCTCATATGTCCACTCAATTGCCACTTTATTAGAAACACCTACCTTGTACTTCCATTCATCGGCCACTTTATTAGAAACGCATTAACATTTTTTTTTTTCTTCCAGTGAAATTCTTTAGCTAAAATGTTCTCTTTACTGGTGTAGAGTTAAACACTTCAGCTAAGAATGCAGTAAAATTGCAGTTACTGAAAACATTTGGACGAAAATGGTCAAAAACAGCGCCTTTGGCTCTGACCGAAATTTCAGCGCCTCCCTAGTTTCAGTCTCTAACTGTTTATCCACAAAGTAGAACTACAAGTCTGAACGGCCAAAAGGCAAATTAAATCTGACTTTTTTAAATCTGATTCAAGCCACATTTTTAGGGGGTCTTTAATCAGACCTCTGGATATATGACTCAGCTCACATAATCCTGACCGGTCAGAACAGATTTCATGTGTTTTTTTTTTCATCAGAGTTTCACAACATTAGAATGTATGACAAGAAAGTCAGCGGTGCTCATTTACATATTACAGCTTAAAGAAGCTTTTAACAGGTTGCGTACTTATATCACATAAGTCTGAACAGTCTAAAGAGTTGAGAAACTAACTAACCAATTTGCCCTGCAGTGTGAACAAAGCCAGTGATCCTGTACTTCAGCTGGAGTCTGTAGAGGTTTTCATCACAGTCTGAGGTGCAGAGCGAAACAATAACAGCTGATCTGAGATCAGTGGGAAATTAATGGAGTGAAATTGTGATTACGTGTGTGTTTTTTTTGTGGGAGTGGCACTTCCGGCACTTTCGAATAAACATTTCCACATCCTGTTATGAGACTCTTTGGGTTAAAAAACTGACCTTCTGTGGTCAGCTGTAATAATTTCCTTCCATGACATCCAGCTCTGGATAACAAAAAATAAAGCAAAATAAACAAAATGAATGTAAATATGCCTCTGCATAATTCCCTGGTTTGGAAGAATCAAAACATGCATTTATGTTAAAATGCCATATAACTCACAAGTGGACGATCAATCTGAAAAAATATCTGAAATTATTTAAAAATTAAATTAAACTGAAAACCATTCCGATGAATTATGATGATGCAGAACAGCAGGCTCATTTTAGTCCATGGATAAATCCAAATGTGCTTCTACATCCCTCCTCTACATAAAAGAAACAACGTCTACTTTCCAAATAAAACCTGCTCAGCTCCAAAACAACTGAAGGTGTCCTTGACTCAGGCTCGCTGCCTGACATGATGCAATGTTTGTGTTGTTTGGCAACTCACAAGAAATTAAATGGCAAAAGTTGGGGAAAGTCGTAGTGTGCATCTGACAAGTCTGATTTGTTGTGGTCCCCTGACACAGGGAGGGACTCAAAACACACACACTAAAATACAGAGACTGTTTTGAACAGGGTGTATGTGTGTGTGTGTGCATACGCTATGCACATACAGTTCAGGGAGGAAGACTAAATGTGGTACAGTTGTACGCAAAAGTTCGAACACTCTTTGTCAAATTATATGTTTTGTTGATTTTCTGAGTGTAAATAAGTGAATATCCTCTACAGAGAACACACTTCTGCACATTTTAATGCACTAATACTGTTTATTTGCACAGTTTAACATATTATTAGAAAAAAAAAAACAAAATACAACATTTACACAGACAAATATTATGTTTTATTTTTTCCCCAATGTGTAAAATGCAGCAAATAGACTGTGAAGAATGTGCAGAAGTGTGTTCTCTGTAGAGGATATGTTCACATATTTTCACAAAATAAACAAAACATTTAATTTAATCCGGGATGCCCAAAACTTCGCATCCAACTGTGTCCATCTGTAGTAACACACATCTGTAATTTTTAGTCAATTTTTCTGTATATAATTATCATGCTATATGTATTAAACTCTGTGAGAAATTGTAGCTCTATCTTGCTGGTGTATATTTAGAGACTAGCTCAGGGGTATGCATATTTGTGTTAGCTTTGCTCTATTCCTTCATCAGTGGTCAGTTTCTGACCACAGACCTGCTTTTGGCGGGATATTATGGTGGTCCACTCTCAGTGCAGTAGTGACACTCAGGTGTAAAAACTCCTGTGTCTCATACCAGCACCACATACATGAGCATGTCAATGTCATTGCTGCGCTGAGAATGGACCACCACCCAAATAATGTGTGGACAGCACAGTTCTGCCATCAGAAACTGACCAATGATGAAGGAGACAGAGGGGGGCGGATAAACCGTGCAGCGACAGATGGACTACAGTCTGTAACTGTACACCTACACAGTAGACCTATAAAGTAGGTGTTTCTAATAAAGTGGCCAGTGAGTGGAAGTACAAGGTAGGTATTTCTAATAAAGTGGCCAGTGAGTGGAAACACAAAGTTGGTGTGTCCCATAAAGTGGCCAGTTAGTGGAATATAAGGTAGGTGTTTCCAATAAAGTGGCCAATGAGTGGATGTACATGGTAAGTATTTCTAATAAAGTGTCCCGCAAATGAAAGCACAAGGTAGGTGTTTCTAATAAAGTGGCCAGTGGGTGTATGTAAGTGTGTGTATGAGGGGTGTCTCACCATCATTGACCACAGCTGTCCACATCTGGCTCTTCTTCTTCCCAGCGTGGCGTTCATGGGACTGGCACTGCTGGTCTCTGAAGGTGGGAACTCCTTTAGCACACGGAGGACCCTCACACGCCTTGTGCTCCACACTGCCCCCCACACAATGCCTTCCTCCAGGACCGGGCCTGCAGCAGCACAGCCAGCATTCAAACACTCCAACATCCACAGTAACACTATGACATACTTTAGTCCATTTTTATAGATAACACTATGCCGTACAGTGTCGGAAACCACATAAGCAAGTCTATTAAAGATTACTTAGCAACTCCACATGTTTTGAGGCAAGTGTGTGATGATTTAAGTTTGCACAATGCTAATTGGTGGGGTATAACCTGCCATTACTTGTTAGCTCCATTAGCCTCATAGCTCTAGTGCAAAACCAAAGAAGTAAACTTCAGACACCAAGCATGTCTTGGCTGATTATCTAAGGGGGAAACTTGTGTACATTTTGCCAGACTATTACTTTAAACTGTCCAAAGTTACATAGCTTAATGACAGGATCAGATACTGCAGCCAGTGGTGTGGCTGACAGCTGCAGAGTCTAATGGGGAAAGAGCACAGCTCTGCCTTTGAGCGGTCAGGTCAATTAAAACCAGAGCATTCTGTTAGCATTGATCTGTGGGCTGTTTTATAACCTGATAACTTTGGCTTACAGAACTGGAAATAGGTCTTTCGCTTTAGCCTCTTAAAATCCTATGCTTGTTACATAGTAAGGCTTATTATTCAGTAACTACATGGATTGCAAACTGTTCTTATTCTTAGATGATAAAAGTGTGAAGTAAAACGCTGGACCTGCTGATGGGTCCTGGCCATTTAAGGGGTTAAGGAAGCATCCAGTATTTTCTGAACAATTCATTCATGCTTTTATCTGCTGAATCAAAAGCATAAGTGAGATGAATGGGATTTGCTTCAACAAATCTAATAAATGTCAGCAGCCAGGCTCCTTCTGCTGAACTGCACATTGAAAATATACTAATATATGATCCTTGAGGATAAAATGTTTGAAGATTTCTTGTAGTTTTTCCCTTTAATGTCTTTTTATCTCTCAGAATTAGTCAGGCTGTTGTTGTTACTGTACCTTTAAGAGTGATGTATGCAAATAAGCTCTGTTGTGCCTCACTCAAAACGCACTGAAACACTCCTTATAACTTAAGTGTGAGTGAGTGGAACTAAACAGCTGTAGGCTGAACAGGAATATATACGCTTTATGGACAAAAGTATTGGGACACGCCTCATAGTCATTAAATTCAGGTGTTTCATTCAGTCCCATTACCACAGGTGCATAAAATCAAGCACCTAGCCAAGCAGTCAAGGTCCAAAAAGGCATGGTTGGGTGAGTTTGGTGTGGAAGAACTTGACTGGCCTGCACAGAGCCCTGACCTCAACCCCATTGACAACCTCTGGGATAAACTAGAACATAGATTGTGAGTCAGGCCCTCTCATCCATCATCAGTGTCTGACCTCACAAATGCTGCTCTGGATGAATGGGTAAAAATTCCCACAGACACTCTCCAAAATCTTGCAGAAAGCTTCCCAGAAGAGTGGAAGCTGTTATAGTGCAAAGGAGGGACCAACTCCACATTAATGCCAATGGATTTAGGTTAGGATATATATATATATATATATATATACTAGAAATAAATAGAGCTACATCCTTCAAATTAGCATTTACAAAAACCACAGGTGGTGCACGCTTATATTACAATTATATTAGAGTTATATTCCTCCAGGTCAGTAGCCTACTTGGTGGACACAGAGCCATGATCTTAGCACCCTCGGTCAATGGCCTGTGACCAGAAGAAATGACCTCTGTAACAGCTCGTAATTCAGTGTCTTGGCCATTGGGGAGCCCACAGAAGGGAAGTAAACCCCAAGTCTCTGCAGACTGCTGGAACACGCTGGTCAGACCTCAGAGCCGTCTTTACCACAAACACAACCACAGACTACAGCTTGTAACGTGGAGGAGAGCAGAGCTACAGACAGGTCAGAACCCCAGTTAAACATACACTCAAAACCACTATTACTGCCATCTTTCCTCTCTTCTTCTCTCCTCTCCACTCTTCTGATCCATTTATTTCTTCTTTTGCCTTCTCTTCTCTCTTCTCTTCTCCTCCTCTCTTCTCTCCTCTCCTGTTCTCGTCTCTTCTCTCCTCTTCTCCTCTCCTCTTCTCGTGCTCTTTCCTCTCTTCCCTTCTCTTTTCATTTTCCTTTTTTTCTCTCCTTTTTTCCTCTTCTCTACATTTTTCTTCATTCTTTCTCTTCTTCTTTTTTCTTTTCTTCTATTCACTCTCTTTGCTTTTCTCATTTCTTCTCTTCTATTCTTCTTTTGTTTTATCTCATCCATTTTCTGTTGCTCTCTTCTTTGCTTCTCTTCTCTGCTCCTCTCTTCTCTTCTTTTATTTTCTCTCTTTTCTTATCTCTTTTAAATATCTTTGTTCCTTTTCCTTCCAAATTTCTAATCGTCTTCTTTCCAGAGCTGGTTAATAACCAAATTTCTGCCTTTCTATTTTTAAGTGAGAACACTTCTACCCAACTATGTTATTAAGGACAGTGATTTACTTTTTGTTTACTTCAGTGTGAAATACCCACTTGTAACTGGGGGCTCCATTGTGTTCCACTGTGGGCTAAAAAGTCTCTCTTTTGTATTACAGAATATAAACGACTTTGTTCATTTGCTTTGTTCTTTTTTCATTTTGGAGGGGAGCTAAAGCGGCGCACAGCGGATACATTCCCATTCACTAGAAATAACAGCTAAAAACAAGAGCAAGATAACTGACCAATTTGCTACGGCGCCACCCTGTGACAGACCAGTGCTGCTGCGCTGGTTCGTTAAGAACAATAAAAGCAGAACCTCACCATTTCGAGGGTAAAGCAGACTGAAATAAAAGAACATTTTTCTAAATTCTTATGTAGGTGTTAACTTTCTCACAAACTCACTGGGGTTGATTGATACCATAACACTATAATGTGTTTAAGTGGTTTTAGGCAGCCTCCAAAATTTGATTTTGTGGATTTCAGGGGGTCCAAAGGGTTAATTAGGGGATCCCACGTCCTCTCAGGACCCCCTGTTATTCCTACCTTGGTTTAACTCCACTTTAGTCTGTTGTTTTGGTTCAGCACCTCAGCAGTTCTACAGGGAAAGTTTTGGACCTGATCCTTTTTCACACAAGCTAGTACTGTTAGTTCAGTGTGGATCTGCACTCTTCTACACACCTCTTACTGTTTGTTGCTTAGCTAGCCTGGGACACAAAGATGGGAAAGAAGGCTACCCCCCTCCTCCAATGTTTAAGGCAGCTGTGCACACCACAGGCTGAAGATTTACAGTCCAACTTGGCTGATCATGTGAAAGAATGATTAGCTTGTGAACGCGCAACGCTGCAATAAAAACGTCCACTCGGTTCACTGCAGAATACAACCAAAACAAAAAAAGTTACTTAAACTCTGTCCTGTACTGGCAAAGAGCAGCTAGTGGATTTTCTGTACATCCAAGAAATCATTACGCCCAGAGTTTCCACGCCAAACACACACGTGCTAACACACACGCACTCCAGCAGGCTGAAAGCAGTTGTGAATCGACTCTCGGAGCGTCAGGACCCGCAGTACAGCCACAAGAAGAATCAATTCGTGCCAGAAACCCAGGATGTTGCTCAGGTTTGGAGTGCACTGCGATTGGGACGACCTCGGCACATCCAGGGAGCTGAAATGTGAGCTATACTGTGGATGTGGAGCGCAGCGTTAGGGTGGGTTCCCAAAGAAGCAGGGTTGTGAAAAGTGTTATTTACAGTCATATGCAAAGAGAAAACATGTGAACACATTTCTATCTAAATATTAATATTACCGAAGAAAAAATGCACAGTTCAGCTAAAGGAGCTCATAAACTGGTGGCAACTGCATATTATGGCTACTGTGAGGGTTAAACCGAATGTGCCAGAGCTCAGCTTGTGCCAGAGTGTGCCAAACCTGCTAGAGCTCAGCACTTTGGCCCAGTTTAACTCCTGATAGCAGGTTGTCTGCCTGTGTGTGAGGCTTACGGGGGGTTGTCACACTTCCTCTGTCTGAAACGCGCTCCAGTGCCGCAGGTTCGGCTGCACATGCTCCACTGGCTCCATGGACTCCAGTCTCCATCCACATGCTGAGGAATCGGCGTCTTGCTGACACAGTCACCAGCCCTGCACCACTAACACAAACAGCAGGAACACTTAATGCCATCGCAGTCAAAATGACCTCACAGCTCTGTATAATACCATGTTAAAGCTGCACTCGGTCAGATTTTTTTGTTAAAAGTGAAAGAAGTAGCATTACTGAGTCAGGAGAGTAAAAACAGGTTAAAAATGGTGTGCATGCCAACCCATATTATAGAATCACCTTCTGCATGATGCATGCAATCACACATTTCTGCCAAAGAGGTCTCCAAATCCCCAAAATATACATAGTGCAGCTTTAACTTTTAGGAGTAGCAGTTATCACCAGTGATGGCAAAAGCATGGTGTAATTCTATATGAATTATTTTTCACTTGTAACTCATTGAAATAGGTTAAGGAATTGTGTAGAAAGTGTAGATTCTAAGCTTTAAATAAATAACACATTTGTGTTTGTGAATACAAAAGGAAATATTTTATTATGATTTGAGTTGATAAAAAGGTAATACAAATAATAGTTATTTATTTGGCCATGTTTTTGACATGTTTTTGTACATTAAAGCAAAAAAAAAGTCAGAATAACAGAATCAAACCTGTGACTACAGAGCATAAATGTAATTCATTACATAAATAATAATACAAATTGACTGTTAAGCAAAAATGATGATAAATAAATAAATAAAGCCCAGCGAGAACTTTAGGTAATGATACACAGACTACATAAGCTGGACATGCAGAAGTATGTGTATCAGTCAATATATATCAATATACACCGATCAGGCATAACATTATGATCACCTCCTTGTTTCTACGCTCACTGTCCATTTTATCAGCTTCACTTACTATATAGGTGCACTTTGTAGTTCTACAATTACAGACTGTAGTCCATCTGTTTCTCTGCATTCTTTGTTAGACCCCTTTTACTCTGTTCTTCAGTGGTCAGGACCCCCATGGACCCCACAGAGCAGATACGATTTGGGTGTTATTATTAACACTACTTTTACTGTAATGCTTGTTTACAGTAATGACATACAGCACTGTATTTTAAATATGGTACCATATTGAAGTTTTTTCAAACTATATTTTGACAGCAGTATATTACTAGATACAGGTATTTGTAGATGCAATTACAAAGATAAGTGACTTCACACTTTTGATCGGTAGTATATCTGGAAAAAATTTAACAATACATGACCCCTATTGGCGCTCAGCCACAACCTATCCAAGATGTTCATACATGAATAGGTGCCTACATCAGTATGTATCAAAGTGCTAAATGAGAGGGATTGTTACCTTGTCAGCGCCGCATTCTGTGCCGTCCAGAGGCGGGTCCAGTTTGGTCTTACATGAAGTGTCCCCTTCCACCAGACACCACAGGCCTGCGCACATCAGGTGCTAAAACCACACAACATGCTTGATTAGCCTAGCGCAACTTAGCTAAGTATTAGTACTATCAATAGGGAAAATTCAGTGGAATGCAGAGCATTTTAACAGCCTGTGAGAGACAGAGCGGTTAATGTTCAGTGCGTGTTCCTTCCCTGAGGCACCTCCTGAACATCACTCTGGCATCTGAGGCCTGTCATTTCCTCTGCTTGCAAACGTGACTAGCTGCACTCATATGGAAATCTGATGCATGAAAATGTATGGATTTCAAATATATGACATATAATAGCATTTATTGCTTTTTTGTCTTATACTATTATATAACTTAGTCACATATGAACATATATGTGACATACTATATGCCAACTTGGTCATTTTCAAATATGGGATATATATTTCAGTCATTTATCCATATATATGCACATATATGTGTAACACATATTTAACAATATCAGATAAGAAAGAATTATTCATAAATGGATGGCATACATTACTTATTTATGTGAGCTGTATGTAAGTAATATAAGGTTTTTTACTGCATATACATTGCCGGTCTATTTCATTTTGATATATGTATGATCATATATGTATGATCTATGTATCAGATATATGTAGTGGACATATCACAGAGACAGCATATATGTGATGCATATATTAAGCATGTGTTCACCCACCTATCAGACATATATATGCATGGCCCAGATATTATACATGACCAATATGATATATATATATTCTTTCTCTGTGCAGTATAGGCACCATGGCTCCTGATGGATACCATAAAATAGAGTCTTATCTACTGCTGCCCTCCTCAATCACAGAGCTTACTGCATCTGCACCATGCATACGGTACCCATGTGGCAATCTGATATGTGGCTGTATATGCACATAAATCCATGTATACAGCCACATATCAGATTACCACATGGGTACCGTATGCATGGTGCAGATACAGTAAGCTCTGTGATCGAGCCCACATTGGCAGATCTGAGGAGCTTACTGGACCTCCCTTGGGGGCAAAAGAGGAGGGCAGCAGTAGATAAGACTATTTTATGGTCTCCATCAGGAGCCACGGTGCCTATACTGCCCAGAGGAAGAAGAGGCTCCACGCAATTGGCTAAGCTATGCTAACCCTGACAGGAGAGGAGAGCAGATAGAAGACATGAGAGTACATTTCTCTGACTATGCACTCCTCCAGCCTTATAAAGCTGTCAGCAGGACAGAACAAGAGATTTACAGCCTGTACTCTTCCTCCGGACAGACGAGAGAAGAAGCGAGGAAGGAAATGAAAGAAGTGAAAAACAGACCTGGGGCTGTGTGTATCCAACAGCCTCAGGTAAAAATGCTGCTATCCTGGTAGCAATAAAAGTCCATTTGAAACAAGAATTAGAATATATGGTTGGGTAAAGGACGATGGAAGCTCTGCTTAATCCAAGGTCTCTGTGTCAAATCTAAAGTCTTTTATATGGTATTTTGTCCACATTATGCAGGCCTACAATACTGTGCACTCTTCATTTTTTATTTTCCAGTCCAAAGGTTATTAGGACAAGTATTACAGTATTAAGTTAAAGTAACGGCAGTTTTTCAGTATTTACTGTGTCCACTCCTTACTTTTATTCAAGCTTTCATCCTTTTCAGGAGACTCACTTTCAGTTTCTCAAAGAAATCTGCAGACACACCTCCAAAGTTCAGTCTTAGAAGTTGGTTGATCATTTTCTGAAGTAATCAAACACATTTAGTGATGTTGAGGTCTGGACTCTGGGGTGGTCAGTCCATTGTTCAGCTTCTTTGTTTGATGTGTCCGTCTCCTTTTCTCAGTGAGGCTTCTTGACAGCTACACATCCTTTCAGACCCATAGTGCTGAGTTGTCTTCTCACAGTGGAAGGATGGACAGAAACACCTGTGGATGTTTTCAGATCTGAAGCAGCTTGATTTTCTCCACTCTCTCAAAGATGAAAGCTTTAAGTGCTGTTTATCTGATGGGGGCAGTTTTGGTGGTCTAGCAGGTCTTGCATGGTTGTTAGAGGTGAACATTTTTCTTATTTTATATCTAATCTCCTCAGAAATATTTACTGATGAATAACTTGAGTTCTTAAGTTCATTATTTAAGTTCACTAAGTATTTAATGGCAGTTTTGACTGGAAAATAAAATAAATAAAGTATATCCTCTGACTTTTGCCCAGTTTTATATTGACAATTTAATGGTTTCCAATATTACAGCTTCTTACAAGTCCAAAATAAAGCATTTCAGTTAATCAACAACCCTACAGGCAGCTTGTGCATCATTTGACAGCTTTGCATTTCTATATGCTAAAGTGAAAACACCTCCAAGGAGGGAGAATAGCATCAAGCTGCAACAGCCTGGCTTATTTTGCCATTTTTGCCACTCCAAGCCTTGTTGTCAACTAATCTGTCTTTGTTCTGAAGTGCTTCCAGGCCATGTGATGTTGATGTTTATGAGCGACACATTCTATGTGCTATAGTGCTTCTGATCTGCTATGCAACACTATAAGACGCTATGTGGCGCATCAACTGTGAGACAGCCTTTCGTTTTTGTCCCCTATACCTGAGAAAAAAATAGTTAGCGAGCTCCACATTAGTCAGTAAAATGGATTAGCATGTGGAATTGCAGTATTCTGGGTGCTACCATCTACCTCCTTGTATCTACACTCACCAATTTTATCAGCTCCACTTATCTTATAGGAGCACTTTGTAGTTCTGCAGTTACAGACTGTAGTCCATCTGTTTCTCTGCATACTTTGTTACCCTGTTCTTCGATGGTCAGGCCCTCCTCAGGACCACCATAGAGCAGGCATTATTTGGGTAGTGGATCATTCTCAGCACTGCAGTGACACTGTTGTGGTGGTGGCGTGTTGGTGTGCGTTACACTGGTGCGAGTGGATCAGACATAGCAGTGCTGCTGGAGCTATAAAACACTGTGTCCACTCATTGTCCACTCTATTAGACACTCCTACCTTGTTAGTCCACCTTGTAGATGTAAAGTCAGAGACAGTAGTTCATTTGCTGCTGTACAGCTTTTGTTGGTCATCCTCTGGTCCTTCATCAGTGGTCACAGGACACTGTTGGCTGGATATTTTTGGTTCTCAGTCCAGCAGCGACACTGCGGTGTTTAAAAACTCCAGCAGCACTGCTGGGTCTGATCCACTCGCACCAGCACAACACACTAACACACCACCACGTCAGTGTTACTGCAGTGCTGAGAATGATCCACCACCCAAATAATACGTGCTCTGTGGGGGTCCTGTGGGGGTCCTGACCATTGAAGAACAGGGTAACAAAGTATGCAGAGAAACAGACGGACTACAGACTGTAATTGTAGAACTACACGCTACAACTATATGGCAAGTGGAGCTGATAAAATGGACGAGTGTAGAAACAAGGAGGTGGACTTAATGAAGTGGCCGATCGATGTGTATTCCTATTCGTATGATTGCTTCACCAAAATGCTTTGTTAAATCATCACAATATAAATGCTACATTGTGAAATCACCTTATTAAAAGAGAAGAGTAAAGAAATTTCTGCTTTTTGCTCTGGCACTAAAGAGTTAACAGCAAATTTTCAGCATGATGAAATATGTTGGTGAAGACCTCAAAACGTCTGCTCAAACTGGGATCTATAGCTTATAGCTAACAGCTAAATGCTCCAAAGTCTCCAAACCTGCTGCAGGAATCAAACCAGGCATGTCAGCACCTGCCATGCGTGCTAATGTATTGGCCAGTCACCATGGCTACACAAAATCCATGTGGGACATCATTAAGGATAAAGTTACATGAGAAGAAGGTGGGAACAGGAATGGAAAGCATTCAAGGCGAGTTAAAGAATGATGTGATTATACGTTAGCGAGCGCGGCAATGAACTGTGAGCAGTTTGCGCTACCTTCCTTTTTGAAATTCAAATCAAGCAAAGACTGCATAAAAACCTTTTCAGGACAACTACCGGTTTAAATCAATGTGACAACTTCCTTTCGCTCATGAACACCAGGAAAAAAGTTCACAGACAGTTTTGACGGACGTTGGCTCAACGGGCTATTCACGACAATTTAGTTTAAGAACCTGGAAAGAGAGCTTAAGAGCGACAGGCAAAGCTGGACAGTCTGAGTACTTTGGCTCATACTGTGAAATGAACTGTCCAAATCACACAATAGAAGGATTTTTTTTATTATTAAATTCCAGGGTTTGTCTCTCTGATGGCTAACCGACTGAGCCACTATGCTAACGCTGGCAGAGAAATGAAGCAACTGGGCAGAGGGAAGCATTCCCTCACAAATGTGAAATTGGCCACAGAGCGATAATTGGCTGAAAGTCTCCAACGTACCAAATCTGGAGCATTTAGCAGCACTGAAATACAATGAGTTTTCCCACAGTTATGTCCTTGAATTCTACTTTCCCAGAATGATACAAACATGGAAAACCAAAACAAATTGTCCCGCCAACTGCTGAGTAAAGCTAATGTACAGTTTAATGACACAGCAATTACTCACAGAGTCCAAGTTGTTAAGCCCGCAAAGCATAAAAGTTCAAAGAAAGGATAGCAGGCCCATTTTCTTTCACCACCCACCTCCATGTCGGTGCAGAAGGTGGCGTTGGTGCCAAACAGAATTTGACACTGTTCGTCAGCGCTGTAGTGCATGCCAGGCAGTTTGGCAGGCAAGCGCACCAGGTAGCGGCTCCGAGGGTCCGTGTGCAGCAGGCAAGCACTGGCCTTCGACCTGAGAGACAGCAGGACAGACAAAAAAACACCTTAACAACAGCAACTGTCGCCTGATAATGGTCTATACAAATGAGCTACCACATTTAATAGTCTCTCACCTTTTGGAAACTTCTCGATCAAACAGAAAAACAAATGAGATCACAGAGGATAAATAATCTAAATGTCTGGAAATATTTTCAGAAGTTACAACTAAAAGGCAAACCAGATCTCAACTGCTGTTACCTGCTTAATAATTGGTAGCACTTTACTTGAACCCTGCTACAAACATTGACATAGCTACGCCCTAGACCACTCATTCTACCAAGCTGGTTAAAAGTCAGAGTTCAAAACACATTTTGGACTTTTAACTAACTTGCATATAAGACTAAAATCCGTTAGCTTTGAGTGACCCTATACCAGTGTTCGGCAACATGCAGTATGTGGCTATTTTACTGCCCTGTTGTGGCTCCACAGCAGAGTTAGATTTTTTCAACACAGTTTTAACGATAAATGGTCTTAAATGCTGGAGTTAATGTATAACTGCTAATTCACCCTTTAACCCTGAGGATTGGTGTGCAGACTGCTGGTCACCATAGCAGCGCAGACAGTCTCTGAAGCTAATGAAAAGGCAAAGAGAAAGATTTAGGACAAACATCAATAATTTGCAGATAAACAAACTTATTTGTGTTTTTAATCACTCCAGCTGGTTTCCGGATACGTTTAATCTGCAACAAGAAACTGTCAAACACTAAAACTAAAAAGTCACGAAGCTGAAGTCAGCATTCTCATTCGCCAGCTTCTTGTTCAAATTCTCCTGTTCCACCTTAAATAGTATAGCAGTTAAGCTGGAACGGGAAGATTTGAACAAGAAGCAGGCGAATGAGAAACTGACTTCAGCCTCGTAAAAAATCCAATGTTCAGAGACATTTTACAAGAAAATATTCCACTTTTGCAGAAAAGTTTCCTGCCGGTGATGTGAGAAAAGTGGCTATAGCTGAGCTAAAGCTTAAAGCAGAGCAAAGTAAGTCTGTGTTTATATTTTTTATCTCACACTAGTACATCAGCACATACTGAGACATATTTACAGACAAGAGGGTAAAATGAACATGTGAAAATGAAGTCTTCTTTTTGGGTTGCCGACCCCTGTCGTATACCTTAATTAGGTTTATTTTATAAAAAAAAAACAAATGATTGAACATTCCATTTTGTCATGACCAAACCAATCATAACACTGCTGAAACCTTAGCAAATGTTTCAGCAGTGACTGTTTTGATAGTGACAATTTTAGCTAATTTTGAGCAGAATTTAAAAATGCTAGCCAGTACATGACCAGCAAACACAGCTTTGAACACATAAAATCATGTTATTTTTCATTAAAACACTAAAGGTTTACATATTTGCAGAAAACTGTGTTTTGGTAGTGAAAATGTTTAATGTTCTGCATTATTTTTCAGACTCTGGGACACATTTACTTCAAAACAATGGGACCCAACTGCTCACTATGTGGCCATGAAGGACAGGAATGCAGTCTCACTTCTGGCTCCAATTTTTTTTTAAATTAAACTCATGATAAATCGAAGTCTTTCAATTTCACTTTGAAAGATGTACCAAAAAGAAAACATCAAATAAAAACCAAATTAATTTAAAGGACTATTTTCACAAGTGTAAATTTAGGGGTTAGGGTTTGGGACAGACACCTCCCAACAGAAAGCAGCCTATAAATGATGACTTTGTATATATATAGCTTATTACAATCTCAATTAAAATGTACACTTAGCATGTGACATAAGTGGTTATAATATCTAATATTAAAGCATCTGTCCTTGACCTCAACCCAAAACCTAAACCCAACCCTCACCCTGGTCCAAATCCTAACCCCACCACTGTTCAGAATCAACTGAGTTGTTAACAATGTGAACATCTGCAGAAAAACTATAGGGGACTAGAGTGGACTATTCAAATAAAATGAGACCCCACTACCAGTAATAGTAACATCTGCCATGACATGTTTATGGCATGGTTATATCAATGCTATGTAGCAGAGTTTAAATAAAGTGTTTAGTACAGAAGTACATTATTATATGACATAAAAAAGAAATTAAATGTCTGCAGTATCCAAAAGTTCTGGCCCTCCTCAGCAGTCCATAGTTGTTCGGCAACAAAATCATACTCTAAATAATTTACATTTCTTGGTGGAAGAACTGTTAATTGTGATTAATAATAATTACTTAAATCATGGATTGAAAAAATGCAAACTTCATCACTTTTTATGCTGTCTGTTCTATAAAAACAATAAGCCTCTTGTGGCCATGCATTACAGTGATTTATCACAGGGCTTTTACTCTGCTTCATAAAATCACTGTACCGCATGGTTTCACATGACCTTTGTGCTTTAGTTTACACTGTACAGTGTTTGATTTGCCAGTGCTGATTTCAACAACACATCAACCAAGTGTCCACATAAGGGGATTCATCGTAGCAAAAAACTAGAATCAAAACCATAATGAAAATGAAAACTAGCAGTAAAATATGTTCTGTTCAACTGTGGTAAAAACACTTAATCTAAATCAAAACTGTTTTAGATAGAACTATCTTTCGACAGAATTAGGAAGAAAAAACTTCAGTTTTTGTATTTTCAGTGCATGAGGTGCAGTTCATAAATGGATTCCTTCTGTCTTTGGCAGTCTTTAAGAAATGTTTGAAAGCTAGCTGAGCACAGTCTACTGTTGTGTTAATTTAGCATCACTAAAACATCTCATGTCTGTGACGCTGAGATGTCTGTGATTACAGTGAAATCTGAATATCACAACCAGGAAAACATGTCACTGCAGATGTTCAGTGAGATGAGGATGTCAACAAGATTGAGTCTAACGCTTTAATGCATTAAGTTGTTGTCAGTACAGCACTGCGCTAAAGTCAACGACCACCTTTCAGGAGACATATATAACAGAAAATTAAACAACTAAATATAACATCATTTTTTTCAGTATTTACTGTGTCCAGTCTTTACGTTTATTACAGCGTCATTCTTTTCAGGAGACTCACTTCTGCAGACACACCTCCAAAGATCAGTCTTAGAAGTTGGTTGATCATTTTCTGAAGTAATCAAACACATTCAGTGATGTTGAGGTCTGGACTCTGGGGTGGTCAGTCCATTGTTCAGCTTCTTTGTTTGATGTGTCTCCTTATTTCAGTGAGGGCTTCTTGACAGCTACACATCCTTTCAGACCCATAGCGCTGAATCATCTTCTCACAGTGGAAGGATGGACAGAAACACCTGTGGATGTTTTCAGATCTGAAGCAGCTTGACTTTCTCCTCTCTCTCAAAGATGCAAGCTTTAAGTGCTGTTTATCTGATGGGGGCAGTTTTGATGGTCTACCAGGTGTTACAGGTGGTTGTTGAGTCCCATTTTCTGTATCTTTTCATTTATTCCTGATCTGCCGTTTTGGAAACTCCTGCTCTTTCACATTTTCCTTTCATTTTCTCCTTGCTTACGCAAGTGGATTACCTTATATCTAATCTCCTCAAAAAGATCTCCTGAAAAATGAATAACTCTTACTTAACGGCTGTTTTGACTAGAAACTGAACAAATGAAGGGTGGTTTCTGACTTTCGCATAGTACTGTATGCATAAGAACTGTGTTTTGGATAAATGTTACTAACTGTGCAAAGTTCTGTGGTTTATATATAATAATGCATTTTGAACTGTTTATCATACCCTTGCTTAATACCTACAAACTGAAACTGAAATCAAAAGCAAAAATAAACAACTAAACAACTGGTCTACACACATATACACAAGTAGGCTTCTGCCTTAGGCCTTTAAGACTGAGTTAAGTCCTACTCATTAAAAGCAAGAAACAATACACACACACACACACACACACACACAGAGTTTTATTTTCCAACACCTAAGTACTTCTCTCTAACAAACTCCCACAAAATATTTATTTCCCTGCAGGAAAAAATGCCCCCTGTGACCCCCCCTTCCTGGGCCGGGCCGAAAACTAGGCCAAGCAGAGCACAGTGTGTGTTAGAGATTTCTCCAACACACACTGCTGCGTTTCCTCACTCTCAGGAGCTTTCAACCACGGCCAAGGGGAGATGTTTTGATAAGCACCTGACACATATCTGTGCAAATCCACCGCTCGCGAACAGCGCCGAGGATTCCGGAGAATGTCTGGCATCTGCTGCACGCTAACAACCGCATCCAGCAGCACAGCTAACCGCTACTGGCAAATTCTACCTGCGCTGAATGTATTTAAAGGAATAGTTTGATGAAAAATCTAATTTATACAATTTATTCCTCATCTCAAATGTAGTCAAGCAGTAATGGAAGCTTATACTTGTACACCAATTAGCACCATGTAAACTGCATGCTTGAATCACACTTACCTCAAACTTTACTGAGAAATGGACACAATTTTCCCCCTTTACCATAAATCCAGACTCAAGACATGTTTGGTGTCTGTATTTTGCTTCTTTAGTTTTGCACTGAAGCTGCAAGGCTAAAGCAGGGTCAAGCAGCCGAGAGTGATTTATCAACCGTGGCTCAGAGGCTTGTTGGTCTGACCATTTGGGTAACGCTACATCACAGTTATGATGCAGCTGAGTGAAGCTGTATTGTGGCTACGAGGCTGCCTGCACCGGGGACCTGATCGACGCTACTTCACAGCTGTGTGCCTGCTTGGGCCGGCCGCTTGGATGATGCTGCACCGCAGCTGTGGGCCTGCCTGGACTGGCACTGTTCAGCTGCATGAGCAGCATTATGCCGTGGCTACAAGGCCTCTCGTGATGGCTGCCTAAACGATGCTACATCGCAGATATGTGGCTGCCTGGGCCGGCCACTTGGGTGAGGCTGCATTGCAGCTATGAGGTTGCCTGGACTGGTGATGTTCGGCTGCAGGAAAATGCTACCCCTTTGTGGCTAAGGACATTTTCAGCCTTCGAGGCTTCCTGGGCTGGCTACCTGTGTGACACACCGTAGCCGTGGAATGAGACTTTCCCCTGCAATTAAGGACTCTTTTTGGGCTACCCAAGTGACTCTATACCAAGGTCTTTGTAATCCCCCCTCGCTAGCTTTTGGAACTGTGGAGATAAATAGACAAATTGAACTTATTCCTATTATTATTGACACCATAAATATGCAGCAAATTTTATCTTCACTTTGATTCTTTTTTTTGCCGCTTGCCACAATAGAAGCATGCACAAAAAGAGTGGGTTTACAGAGGTATGATGACTGGTTGGTGGGGCACTGTCCCACTATATGACCCCCTTGATGCCAGCCTTGGGCTAATGTAGCTAATAAGTAATCAAGGCACATACCACTCCAATTAGCATTAGCATTGTGCAAGCTGCATGCCTGCATCACACTTGTCTTAAACTTTGAGAAATTGATCTCCTTATTATTTTGAATACAGTCAATGAGTCAAACATGTGTGGTATCTTTAATTTATTTCCTTAGTTGTGCACTGGAGTTATAAAGCTTCATTTTAGCTGATCAATTTACTTTTATCCATTTTTTGTAGCTCATATGTTGTTAGAAACAAGTTGCATACATTTGATTTTGTGCTAAACTACTCCTTTAACTTGACTGAGGCTGCTGACACTGTCAGTGTCTGTAAGACTGAGTAAGGAGATTGCTATTCAGTTGAGAGAGTGTAAGGACTGAAAGGCAATGCTGCATATTTCTCGTTCGGAGTGAAAATCAATAGAGTGTAGGGGAATGAGGGGCTTTAATCAAGAGGAATATCGACGGACGACAAACAAGCCACTGACAGCCAGCCTAATACGACAGGTTGTAAATGAAGTTACGGTTTGAAGAGCTGCAACATTAAATGTTTGTCTCTCCTGGAGCTGAGAGTCAGAATCAGAATTGGTTTTATTGGCCAAGTAATATTGCTTAGATGGAATGTAAAGAGTAACACTTTATTTGAAGGCTATGTACACAGAGACTTCATAACACACGTGTAAGCACTGGATAGCATATTTATAAAGCAATACTTAAAAAAACTATGAACGCTGCCAGTAATTATGCCAGTAGCTGCAAGATGACATAAGATAATTTATTATATAAATGACTTGGTATTGACATAAGGAGCCTGGAACTACAGCGACATATTAGTTTCATTAATAACACTGTTATGAACTTGTAATTTCTAAGTAATGTAACTTAAAAATATAGGCCTAGTTAAGAACACCATATATATTAGATACTCCTACCTTGTCAGTCCACATATATATATATATATATATATATATATATATATATATATATATATATATATATATATGTATGTGTGTGTGTGTGTGTGTGTGTGTGTGTATATATATATATATATAGAAGGACTGACAAGGTAGAAGTGTCTAATAGAGTGGACAGTGAGTGGACACAGTGTTTAAAAACTCCAGCAGCACTGCTGTGTCTGATCCACTTGTACCAGCACAACACACACTAACACATCACCACCACGTCAGTGTTACTGCAGTGCTGAGAATGATCCATCACCCAAACACTACCTGCTCTGTGAGGGTCCATGGGGGTTCTACCCACTGAAGAACAGGATTAAAAGGGGCTAACAAAGTATGCAGAGAAACAGATGGACTACAGTCTGTAATTGTAGAACTACAAAGTGCACCTATATAGTAAGTGGAGCTGATAAAATGGACAATGAGCACACACACATATATACAAGACTCCTTAATAGAAACAGTTCACTGAGACAACAGAGCATAATAACTGTAATAACTCACTGTACATTTACCTTTGAACAAGTACTCAAGTACTTTTTGTACGTTAACTCAAGTATAAAATATATATTTATTTACTTTAATTCAAGTAAAAAAAAAATATTTTTCATAGAGCTGATATATGGTGCTCTTGCCTTATAAGTTCCATTGCATGGGAATGATGCTTCATAACTGATGCTTCATAAGTGTTGTAAATGGGACAAATGTCTGTCTAGTTCAAGGCCCTTTATGCCAATAAAATGTCATTTACTTCATAAACATTTTAGGTAATCCAGGCATTTCTGGCATAAGCTGTTCATAAGTACTCAAACACTGGTTATTTAATGATTATGTATGCGTTATGAAACCACAGCGTAGGTAGCCTAATAAACACTGTACAAAACTAAGTAGATGTACAAATGCAAAGTACAGTTGATCTGGCAACCAAACATTTTAGATGGTGTTTTCTGTATAACTCAAAAAGTTTGCATCTGATACTTCGCTACACTTGATTTTCCACATTAATACTAAAGTAATGTGCATACAAGCCAGTTTCTTATCACTGACGCACTAACAGCCTTCAGACATGCAATGTGATTACGCTTCAGAGGTGCAGTAGAAAAGGGGCCTACAGAAGCACCATGGAGGCCAGAAACTGGAAACTGCAGCCTTTCATGACATGCACACACAGGGCTGATTTTCCACTATTATAATGCTGTGCTACATATAAAGCAGCTACTGGAGCAAAGCCCTCTCAGTAAGACTTGTGAGTGGGTTTGTGTGTGTGTCTGGTTTGGTTATGCAGGAGGGGATTTCTTAGCGATGCTGAATGCCTCATAGAGCTTAGACTGAGTAAAAAAAAGTTCAGTTCAAACTGTTTTCCTGGTGAAATGTGAGGCTCCAAAAAGTATCATAGAATTAAAGCTAATATTAGTCTTATTCAAAGTTGGTCTTAAGAATAATCTTGCACTGCAAAGCCAACCTAGCTAGCAAAAGTTAACCTGGCATACGAAAGCTAAACTAGTGAGCAAAAGGTAATGTATGAGGAAGCATGAATTCCATGCTGGTCTAAGCTAGTCTGTGCTGGTTTATGGTGGTCTAGTGCTTGCCTGGTGCTAGTTTAGCTGGTCACCCAGCATGGTCATGCTGGTTGACCAACATACCAGCATCAGATACACAACATATGTTAGTTTTGGTGGTGATCGACATATTTACTTCCATTGCTGCTGACCAACATACCAGCATTCATGTCTGTGCTGTTTTTTCTAGCAGGAAAAGCTAACCTAGCTAGCGAAAGGTAACCCAGTGAGGAAAACCTAAGCTAGAATGCGAAAGCTAACTTAACAAGTGAAAGATAAACTGGCGGGCAAAAACTAAACTAGTGAGCAAAAGCTAAATTAGTGAAAGTATGCTAACTGAGCAAGCTAAAGCATCCATCCATCCATCCATCTTTTAAGCCGTTTATCCTTCCGGGTCGTGGAGGGTGCTGGAGGCTATCCCAGCGTTCATCAGGCAGAAGGCGCGAGCAAAAGCAAACAAAAGAAAAAAGCAAACTACCAAGAGAAAGCAAAGCTTCCAAGTATAGCCTATTGTGACAATTCCATTCATACCTATGAATGCATGCTATCTGAAGGCAGAATTTGGTATCATGCCAACATCTTTAATATTTTACTTTTATCTCTGCTGTATAACAGCATGTTTACTTTCAGTGGATCTGGATTTCAGACATGGGCACACTTTGCATGATTTAGACTAGCTTAATGTTCTCATCTTTGATCAGATAAAAAGGCTTTTGATTGGTTGTGTCATATTCATTTGTATGGAATTCTCTTGTATTGTTGGATAAAAGTACACTACAAAGAACAATACAAATTACAAAGAACAATACAAATTAATACCAATGATCACAATTAGGATTTTCTCACCTGAGGAAGTTTTCCAGGTCATCACGGCTACAAGTAGACCAGGAGAGGTCACTGGGGTTACGGCCTTTGACCCACTCTCCTGACATGATGTGGGAGTGGCCTGTACAGGTGGCATGGTCATCATCATGGCTCATTCCCATGCTGTAAAGGAGAAGGACAGTTTTATACCACACATACAGTCCCCATTTAAAAAAACAAATGCAACTGTGTTCGCACTCGGTATTAACTTCTCTCGAGTGATCTGATCATAAGTGGATAGTGAGATCTATGGCCGTTTGCACCTGGCACTTCCATGTCTTTTAAATCCTGTGACCACTGATCATGCCCCCTAGCCAACTGCAATTGACAATACTATAATTTTGGCATGATACTGGCGACAGGCAAGCGGTAAGTGCTTTTCCAAAAAAAATTTCTTGGTGTGATTTATAGTTTATAGTTTTTGGTATGGTTTGGTAGAACTTGGAACAGTTTAGAAGTTCTTGGTATGGTTTGCTAGTTCTTGGCATGGTTTGGTTATTCCTGGTATGGTTTGGTAGTTTTTGGACATTTTTTGGTAGTTCTTGGTACGGTTTCATAGTTTTTGGTATGATTTGTTAGTTCCTTGTATGGTTTGGTTTTTGTTATGTTTGGTCATTCTTGCTACAGTTTGCTTGTTCTTGGTATCTTTTGGTTATTCTTAGTATCATTTGGGAGTTTTTGGTATGATTTGGTGGTTCTTGGTACAGTTTGCTAGTAATTGGTATGTTTTGGTTATTCTTGGTATTGTTTGGTAGTTTTTGGCATGGTTTGGAAGTTCTTGGTATGGTTTATTCCTGGTATGATCTGGTCGTTTTTGGTATAGTTTGGTAGTTTTTGGTATAATTTGGGAGTTCATGGTATAATTTGGTAGTTTTTGGTATTATTTGGAAATTCTTGGTACAGTTTATCCCTGCTATGCTTTGGTAGGTTTTGGTATGGTTTGGAAATTCTTGGTACAGTTTATTCCTGCTATGCTTTGGTAGATTCTTGGTATGATTTGGTGGTTCTTGGTATATTTTAGTTATTCCTGGTGTCATTTGGTAGTTGTTGGTATAGTTTGGTAGTTCTTGCTTTTTTTAATACTTCTTGCATGTTGTCTGCTCTAAGGTGTTCACGAACCTTAGAAACATTAACAAGCATGAAATCTTGCGTGTATTGACAATATCTTTGAGTATCGTAATGTTATATTTATTTTTGTAATACTGTAAAAATTATGTGCAACACTGACACAGAATGAAAGCACAGCAATCCTGAAGTTGTGCTGGGAGGCTCAGCTGTACAGAAACACAGGGAATCTGAGGCAGGGCAAGCAGAAACAGCCTTCTTCCTCTCAAGCCCTGACCTACATTTCCAAATTAAAAACAACAACCGAAAAACGAACTAGCGGCAGCGAAACGCAGGAACTAATAAAGAACGTGGCGGGTGGATTTCCAGGGCGCGTCTCTTCCCCGACTGAAATAAAAGCAATAAAAGACTGAGGACTCACAGTGAGCACACCAGAAATCAGACATATCGCATTGGAAGGCCATTTACAAGGAAAAGAATGTCATTTTACTGTTATGTCCTTTTAAACAGCAATACGGTTGGGTGATTTAGTCGATAACGCAGCACTCAAATCTTCATCAACTGTCTATATGGGGTTTGTGATGGAAAGAATAGGGCCAAGAGGGATTTGCATGAACAGGCAAAATGTGTGTGCAGATCCCAAGCAGACTAAAATGCGCAGGCTTGGAAACACATTCACTGCCAAACTAATAACATGGCCCACAGTAGCAGAACAGGTTCTTAAACTAGATCTCTCCATCAGACAATAGCACAAGACAAAGTGGTTTGTTTCATTCCTGATCTAAGACCATATGAACAGAACCAAATCTAGATCAGTCCTTCAGTAGTTAATCAGTCCAATATCAGGCCTATATGTAACTATTTCTTTTTATTTTATGACACCATTTAAAAGCAAAAGTTTCCAAGTACATTAGACCTCTGAGGATGTGTCATCATTTTCTAATTCATCATCTATGGGAACAATGCATTTGGCTAGCTTGCTTGTAGGATGTGTGTAGCATATTTTTGCCTTGGTTTTACCTTTTTTATATTTACGCAAAGCATTCACACACTTTTTCATCCAGTAATTTTGTGATGGTTCCTAACACCGACACACCAGCAAACAGGGATTATCAGTGAGTTAAACTTTAACCCCCTTTCACATTATCCACAAATGCAATCTCTGCTTGTCTTGTCCCTCTTTTCTTTAATAACATTTATGGGATACATTTCGATGGAAATTGTGATTTACAAAACCAGAAGCAAACTGGATTTTTGTCTTTGTAGGTGAGCAAGTCAACATTTATACAATTGTTTTATTGCTGCAGTTGTACAGATGTCCTTATTTGTGGAGAGGTCATAACAGGGGGTTCTCACCCCTCCCCTTTCACCCCTCATTGCTCACTAGCAGCTAATGGTAGTTCTTGGTAAGGTTTGCTAGTTTTTGGCCATTTTGGTAGTTCTTGGTACAATGTAGTAGTTTTTGGTATGATTTGGTGGTTCTTTGTACAGTTTGCTAGTTCTTGGTATCTTTTGGTTATTCTTAGTATCTTTTGGTAGTTTTTGATATGATTTGGTGGTTCTTGGTATGGTCCGATAGCATGGTATGGAAATTCTTGGTACAGTTTATTCCTACTATGCTTTGGTAGTTTTGTCATGGTTTGGTGGTTCTTCGTGTGATTTGCGAGTTCTTGGTATTTAGTTATCCTGGTATCGTTTGGTAGTTGTTGATATAGTTTGGTAGTTCTTACTTTTTTAAACACTTCTTGCATGTTGTCAGCTCCAGGTTTTATTTAAAAATTCACTTATACTCATTTGTGGGAATATTACTAGTGTCCATGAGGTGAATTAATACAATTCCAAATTAATAAAAAGACATTTTTTAACCAGCATTAAATGAGTTTTATAACATTTTGTTTCTTCTGTGAAAGTAATCGCTTTTGAGACAAGCTGATAAGCAAAGTGACAGACTCCTCATTGGAACTCACTATCCTTTTCTCCTGGAGGGATCTAGAAACCATAAAATCCACTTAAAATGATGCTGTTACTGTATTTTCATTATGTAAACATAAATCTTACTACAGTAACAGAATTATTTCCCCATCAACAGTGAATACACCCAGTCATCATAAAGCCATGCACTGTTTCCAGCTATCTCTGTTCTCCACTCTGACTAACAATCAGAATAGGAAGGTAAAATCCCAGCAAATCACTGGGATACACTGGAACATGGACCCACTGAAGCAAAGAAAAGGAACTGCTGTATGAGTAACTACAGCATTCAAGAAGAGAGCTTTTTTATTTTCACTTCTTGGTTGAATTCCATTTCTGGCACTGCTAAGAGATTAGGCCTCTTTTATGATCTCCAACTACAATTACACATTTTTTCACCAGCTCTTCAAAACAAATGAGCATTTAATGGATCAAAAATCGTGCTGATGCGAGACAAATGGCTGTGTAATGAAATGTGAATCAGAGACAGTAATAAAACCTGCTTACTCTGCCATGCTAAAGCAAAAGGCCAGGCTACGTTTTATAGCAACAACTGATTGTATCCACTAAAAGAGGCTCAGATAATCAGACAACGATCAGACAATGAGTTCCAGCAGACTGGTCAAAGACAACAAAGGCTTTTCATGTATCTCAGTCTCAGGTGTCTCAAAGACCGAAGCAGATGCCAAAGTGCAGCGCCTGTAAATGCACATTTGAGCGTGTAAATGTCAAGTCGACAAATTTAGCCCCTTGTGCGCTAATCCAGGTGAAACCTTAAAAAACAAACCCCATGACATGCTAGATTACAGCTTTTATATTACGCAAATACAGTTCCACTTAAGCCCCTAATATTCTCGCTTTAATAGGTGTTTTACAGAGTGAGCACAATGGAGGCTTCTGTGTGTGTGTTAGCACCATGGCTACGCAAGTGCACTCTTGGTTTCGGCACCAGTCGGACGCGCTGCGGGCCAACTCTCTGCTGCCAGCCTTTAAAGCTCCCGCTAGGCACTCGCCACCCTGCTGGCTGCCACTGGAGCGCACCGCGATAACTCTATGCTAAACTGGCACAGCTACAAAGCCCACGCTAATGCTAATATAGCTTTGGCTATATTTCCAGGTGAATTTGATGTTGGCTGCCCAACGCTGCCCTATCAAAGGAGGCTTTCTTCAAGCCAGGGAGGATAATGAGTTGGTGCAGTTGTGGAAAAAGTAATACCTACTCTGAGATAGAGCTAGTATATATGTAGAGCTAATATGCTGAGTCTCAATGTGGGGAAGAAGTGAAATGAACAATAGGCTTTTTCTAAATGAGTCAAATCAAAGAAAACAGCATGCACAGTGAAGTATTAAGTGTGTTTAATATAACACTTCACTCAAAACGATACTGATGAATAAAAGCCAGTTAGCATGATGTTACTTGCATAACAGAATTCTAGCTGGTTCTCACTGAAAAATCAGAGACTGTTTGTTTGTGTAGTAACTAAACTCATTTCCCACTTTATTAGAAACCCCACCTTCCTGATGACCTTCAGGGACTTTAGCCTGCCTGTTGATGCACAATGTGTGTTAGCCATCCGCCAGCCATGAGCCACTTGGGTATGTGTTTGTAATAAAGTGGCCAGTTAGTGAAAGTACAAGGTAGATGTTTCTAATAAATTGGCCAGTGAGTGGAGGTGCAAGGTAGGTGTTTCTAATAAAGTGGCCAGTGAGTGGAGATATAAGGTATGTGTTTCTAATGAAGTGGCCAGTTAGTGGAAGTACAAATTAGGTGTTTCTAATAAAGTGCCCAGTTAGCTGATGTACAAGGTAGGTGTTTCTTATAAATTGGCCAGTGAGTGGAAGTACAAGGTAGGTGTTTCTAATAAATTTGTCAGTGTGTGGAAGTACAAGGTAGGCGTTTCTAATAAACTGGCCAGTAAGTTGATGTACAAGGTAGGTGTTTCTTATAAATTGGCCAGTGAATGGAAGTGCAAGACAGGTGTTTCTAATAAAGTGGTCTGTGAGTGTAAACATAAGGCAGAGTTTTCTAATATAGTGGCCAGTAAGTGGAGGTACAATGTTATAAAGTGGATGGAGAATGTATATAGCACACAGTAGAATCGTCACAGAAGATCTGTTAGATCACAGGTTCACAGTGTGTGGTTTCTGTACTCACTTGTGTCCAAGCTCATGAGCGATGGTGAAGGCCAGGTTGAGTCCGTTGTCCTCTGCCAGTACACACTTCCTCTTGGCGCTGCAGGTGCCTCCCAGGTAGGCGATACCTGTGTAGAAACCAAATACCACCAAGGTGAAGGGAAATGATAGTTTCACCATAGACCTGAAACTTTTCCAGCTTTATATGGCCCTGCAATTTGTCAAAACCAACCAAACCTATTTTCCTCGACTCTCCATCTCCTGGCCAGATGTTACTCCGGGCCTGTTTTTCATCCCCAGAAAGTAATGTTCTTAGCATTGATTACACAAAATGAGCTAGTTTCAAGGACATTCGGTGTGAGTCTGCTAAACTCGCTCTTGGTTTCTGACAGTTGTTTTCAGTTCCTTGGCCTCCTCATACCTGGAAGGTTTGTAATACTGACCCCATTTCTATGCCAATTACACTGGTGTGATTCAGCAGCCTGGTGAACAGCAGTGCAGAAGAAAGGCTACATAAGCTAGCATTCTCCAGAGGAAAGCACAGACATGCCAGTGCATCTCCCACCATCAAGCTGCATAACCACTTAATAATGCTGTCCTAGGCATGATTTAATGGGCAATATATTATGTGAAGCAATGGCAGGTGAAGATAATAGTAGCATTTGGGGAAAAGAGTGTAGTTTGCTACTTGAACTACTATGCTTCTTGGCAAGTATGATGTCCTGTGAGATATGACGGCATTATAAAACAGTATGACGATGGTACACTCTTCAAAATAAAAGTGCTAAAAGAGTTCTTTGCACAACAGCTACATAAAGCCTACATAAGCTGTTCATGATAACTGACATAATCCTGTATAGACATTTAAAAAACTCCAACAACCTTAAGTTATCAGTACAATGCTTACTGAGGTGAAATGACATTAACATGGACAGCCTTTTGGACAACTGACACTTGTCAGAATAAGCCTTTATAAAAGGTTCTATAGGTTTACGGCAATTTCCATGAAAGGCTTATGTAGGGCTCTCACAGCTTTAAGAATGCTGCCCTTCAGTAAAGTGTTACCAAAAATTTAAGGGGCACGCCAGCCAAAAAGAAACACGGAACCATTACTATGTCTGTTGTAAACCTGAATACTCATCTTGTACAGTGGTGGTGCAATATTATCCAGTTTAAAGACAACAAAAAACACCTTCTGATGATGTAATTTGAAGGTGGAAAAAACTACACACACTTTGGGGCATAATCTTGAGTGCTGGCCATTATTCTTTTATTCATTTTTGGCAGAACAAGGCCAGATAACCTGCATCACTGGTAGGAAGCTGCTACAATAGTGAGTAAAGGTATTTGCGCAATGCATGCTGGGTGTTGTAGTGAGAGAACACTGATGGATTAAAAACACAAAAAGGATACAAATCATGACATTCTGTTAAACTGATGAGGCTGAGGGATGAAATGCTGCACTAGAGAATCTTGCACATTGACAAATAATGCGTAAAAATGCTAGCTTAGGCCGGAATGCCGCTCCACGTGATGTGAGAAGGGTCTCCAGCGAGAAGCCCATCTCTTGAACTTTCAGGAGAAGGACCCTGTGATGTCATGTGGGGTCTTTCACAAGAGGTGGAATTTTTAAATCTATTGTTGTTTATAGTGTTAGGTTATCGCTAGCAAATGCACATTTATGAGTGGAATAGTGTACTTCCTGTGAGTGACTCTACTATCGATTGACCTATCTAAAGTATAAGCAAACAACAACGCTAGTATAGTAACGTAAGCTAACGCTAACACTAGCTTACTAACCACTGTATAACTAGTTATAGTAGCTAGCTCAGCAAACTAAAAACTTTTTTTTTTTCCAAAAGACGTGAGGATAATTTGTCATACAGTTTGTCAATGTTGACAGCTAGTTAAATGCCTAGCCTTAGCTAACGCTAATGCTAGCTTACTAACCACTGTATAACTATAGTTAAAGCAGCTAGTTTAGCGAATTAAAAACTATTATAATTATAAAACTAAGATTTTTTTTTCCAAAAAGATGTGAGGATAATTTGTCAAACAATGCTAAAGTTGACATCTAGTTAGGTTAACTATCTAGCCTTAGCTAATGCTAACGCTAGCTTACTAACCACTGTATAACTAGTTACAGCAGCTAATTTAGTGAACTAAAAACTATGATAATAATAAAACTAATTTAACTAAACTATTTTTTTCAAAAAGACATAAGAATAATTTGTCAAACAATCCTAAAGTTGACAGCTAGTTAGGTTAACTATCTAGCCCTAGTGAACACTAACGCTAGCCGACTAACCACTGTATAACTGGCCACAGTAGCTAGTTTAGCGAACTAAAACTATTATAATTATAAAACTAATTTTTTTTTAAAAAAAAAGGATAATTTGTCAAACAATGCTAAAGTTGACAGCAAGATAGGTTAACTGCCTAGCCTTAGCTAATGCTAGCTTACTAACCACTGTATATCTAATTATAGTAGCTAGCTTAATAAACTAAAAAAATCTTTTAAAAGTTGAAAGTTGAAAGTACAATCTTCCCCAACTATCCATAGGATGGTAATAATTTGGATGTTACTCTCTTGTGTGCTGATGGATGAACATTTACACTGTGAAACTTTAATACAACTCTAGTTGATTGAAGCCTATATGAAACTAAATTGCACCTGAATTGCGTAATATAAAGCATCCTGCAACTCACTTGAAATTCAGCCGCAACAGTTGCAAGCAAAAATGAGAACAATAACGATACAGAATATCAAAAATACAAGCTAATTTAGCGAGTTAGTGGAGTAGCTGAATGTGTTGCGTGCAACTTTGCTTGTTCCTGAAATGCTTCATGTAACCATTGAATGGAAAATCACAACATGCAACTAGTTGCATGGCAGTTTCCCGTGTAAAGCCAGCCTAAAACATACCAGAAAAGAATGTTAGCACATTTGTATGAAATGTCACAAAACGTTTGTTTTACTTATCAAAAATCACAGTAAACCACGTCTACAACAATGTTTGTATGGTAAAAGATGCTGTTGCCAATACTAATGGGACTCTCTCCAACAACCAGAAACAGACTGAAACATGTTCAGTATGCTAACAAATCTACCGACTACATAAATCTACTCCCAGTTCAATGGAGACTTTTGATGAAAGATTGTTTCATCTGGTATTGTAACACGGTACCTTCGAAGGAAGTCAGTGTTTTAAAAGCCCATCAATCACAAAGTCGGCCAATAGAAATGACATTTTAAAGGCCTGTCGCATCACTGGGTATCGCCTTTCAACGTGTCTGCTCCCGCACCTGGTTTGTGTCTGTTACTGGACATTGCCCAGAAAGCCTCACTTGGCCCCAGACCGCCATAAATTAAACCAGTGACAAGAGAATGAAATTAAAGCCAGATGGTTTAGGTGAAAAAGCAACAATTTCAATGATTTCATTTGTGAATACCCACATTTTTGAAGCTCATCTGTGACTGACACGAGCCAATTCGGAATCAATGGTGCACAGACGATGAATATGACTTCATATTTAGAAAAATGTGCATTTTCTCAGACTTTTTGGATAAGGAAATTTGCAAGTGGAGCTGGTATGGCATAATAATATCTCAGCCACAGGGTATTTATAGCACCTGCGAATATAGAGTGGCTGCGATTTTGTCAGGTATGAAAACTTGTCTAATAAAAAGTCAAAAGTTCATGTGGTGTGAAGAACTGATATATTGAAGCCACATTTACTTTAAAAGAGAAATCACTTTTGCTTCACCTTGTAGAGACAAACGTCTTTAGGTATAAGAAGTTGAAACTATTGCCAGTAATAACAAAGGCATGTCATAATTTTATATTAACTATTTTTCACTCATAGAAATAATTGAAACAAGCAGAGAAATTCTGTGCACTGCCAAAAAACTGTTGATCAGTACAATCTAAAAATGTATTTATGTGGTAACAAGAAATTTAACTGGTTTTATTTGAATAAGCAAAATAAAACTGCGGTTTAGATTTAAAAAAGCAATATTTTTCATCAACTCATATTTCAAAAACACAAATGAACTCCTGCCTTCCTCCACTTCATGCAGTGTAAAAAGTGTAGATTCTAAACTTCCAATCCTACCACATCTGTGTTTGTAAGTAGGAGAGGAGATATTTTATTATGATTTGAGTTTGATTAGTTATTATCGTGTGTACAGTCCTGTTTTGTAGAAAGAAAAACATTCCTGTTTTTGTCATTTCTTGGCCAAAAAAGTTAGAAGTGTAGACCCAGGCCTGTCAAAACAAAATGTTAATTAAAAGTTATTAATTGTAATTAATATATAATCACTATGTAATTGCGTATGTGATTACATAATGTTTTTCATCCTATCATCCTTGAACTAACCACTTTAACACATGGCAGCCACTTTCTCAGGAATGTCAATATCTACCACTCAAGGTCTGTTCCACAGGTCAGCAACCCAAATTTTAACAAAAATTTCAACAAAAATCAAACCACCTTGGGAGCCACAACATTTTATGTCCATTTTACCTTCTTGGCAGTAAATATGTCTTAGTATGTGCTAATGTGCTAGTATAGGATAAAAAATATCATTTTTTAAAGCAGGCTTACTTTGCACTGTTTTAAGCTTTAGCTCAGCTATAGCCGCTTTTCTCACATCTCCGACAGGAAACTTTTCCAAAACTGGAATAGTTTCTTGTAAAATGTCTCTCAACGTTCAACTTTTTACAAGACTGAGGTCAGCTTCTCATTCGCCAGCTTCTTGTTTGAATTTTCCCACTCCACCTCAAATGGTGCTTGAGGTGCCAGAATGTAACTGCTGCACCATTTAAGGTGGAACGGGAAAATTTGAACGAGAAACTGGCAAACGAGAAACTGACTTCAGCTTTGCGACTTTTTAGTGTTTGACAGTTTCTCATTGCAGATTAAACGTATCCGGCAACCAGCTGGAGTGATTAAAAACGCAAATAAGTCCATTCGTCTCGAAATTCTCAATCTTTCTCTTTGCCTTTTTCATTTGCTACTAGCCAGGCGAGACTGTTGCCTGCATTGCTATGGTGACCAGCAGTCTGAGCGCCAACCTTCAGGGTTGAAGGATGAATTAGCATGTTTTTTTTTTTTTAGATTTGTC